TCGACCAGGCATTCTATAGAATCCCTAGGTATTCTATAGAATCCCTGACTGCTTAGGCATTCTATAGAATGCCTGGCTTAAGCTCCCAGGCATTCTATAGAATGCCTAAGTATTTTGATTGTCCGAAACACACTTCGAAAATTAGGGGTCAGTGGCAGTAATGCTATTTGTTTACCTAATTTTCATTGTTGGCCTAGGCCGGTCGTCACCTCACACCATTTCAGGGCAATGAGCTGAGAGGAAGCGAGGGAGGTATTGGGCTATGCCGACCACCAAATGGTGCGCCGCAAGCAGCAGCTGATCCAATTCCGTTGGCACGGGAGAGCCACGGCGCAAGGCACGCGGGAGAGTCACAGGCCAACCAGTCGCTTAAACGGTTACCCTCGGAGGATTATGCTGCTACAGATACGAAGCTGCATTAGAAGAGTGTTGGCTGGGAGGGTGGACCGTAGGCTTGAATCGAAAGTGATTGCGAATGACGATGGCTTTGTTCTGATGTTAGAAATGAAGGTGAAAAATACACCAAAGGTCACATTTTATGTCGTCATAAGCACTTCGTGTAACGACTCTCAACATACATACATGGACAGCTCAACCTACACCGTAATGTCAGGGAATAACCTGAATAAATGATTCATTATTCCACGTCTGGGCGGTGGCCCGGCCGTAACAAGAGCCGGATTAGGTGTTGTTCGATCTCCCCTTCCAGCTTGACCTCTGGGCCATCCGGTATTCGAAAGGTCGTCAAAGACTCAAAATTATGAAATTTTACTTCAGTTCTTCTTTGGCAATGTTCGAAAGGGTGCCATTTCTAGAACAAATAGCTAAGCCATTTTTTAGGTCAGCCCAATTTTTGTCCATTTTTGGCTCCTAGCCGTTTTCTCCAGTTTGACCTTAAATCAATTCCTTAGAAGGCAAACACCTCAAAAAATGGACGATTTGTCAATTTTTTCTGTGTAATTTTTTTACCAAAGGCGTTTCCGATATTGACATTACCACCATCGTCTTTCTAGCGTTAAGATAAATACTCTGTACTCTCAGAATGAAATCCTGATACAATTTGACCTAATAAGGTCAGATTGAACACCTGACCGGAAAATTTGACTGAATGAACATTTGACTGAATGAACATAAATAGCTGAACGCAAGGTAGCCTGGCAGAAAATAATAATGTTACATGTCGGTCTGTGCTCATAATCTTATACAACATACACTTATATGTTGGAAAGATTCGTGTATTTCCTAGGCATTCTATAGAATGCCTGAAAATCAGGCATTCTTTAGAATGCCTAGGGATTCTATAGAATCCCTGGTGGGTCAGGCATTCTATAGAATACCTAGGGATTCTATAGAATGCCTGGTCGGTCAGGCATTCTATAGAATGCCTAGGCATTCTATAGAATGCCTGATTCCACACATTGCCTGTAACATATATACTTGAATCGCGGACTGTGCTAAGACTCACAAAATACCCTAAAACAGTTGCACAAAAACTTATTTCAATCAGTGTTCCATTGTCGTTAAAGAGATAGAACCGTTTTATCCTTAGAAGTTCGTGACGCATTCTCTATCATTCATTCCATTCGTTCATCCGACATCCATTCTCTCGGAACAGAAACATTTAAAGGCCCTATTAGCCGCTACATGTGGAACATCTTCTTTAGGATATCTATGCAAGTGTGGGAAGTAACAACATTCTTGACATCGTCTTATGAGATTCCGTTTGTGGTGGGATGTGAAGGAGAGCACTAGTGAAACTCACGAAACTGAATAAAGTTGTGTTGGTTAGAGTTGAGTCGAATTGTAGTTAAGCTTTAGTTAGGTTCAATATCAATATCAAGTTTATCAATATCAATATCAAGTTTTGTTGTGAGTAGCATGGCTGTTTCCAATGCCAGTAGCCCAGCAACACACAAATAATTCATGTTCTATAAATCAGACTTGATTGAAGAACGCGCAGGCGTCTGACGGTTCCTCCACTGCCCGTTTCAGTACGCCGGCCAGTGGTACGAGATCCAGCGGTACCCGCTCATCTCGGAGCTGGGCTCCACGTGCGCACAGGCCATGTACGTCGCCCAGTCGGACGGCTCCGTACGTCTGGAGAACCGCGGCCGGCGTCCCGACGGATCGCTGGACTCCATCACCGGATCGGCCTACGCCGAGGACCCCGAGCATCCCGCCGCGCTCACCCTGGTCTTCGACGAGGGCTTCAAGGGCGACTACAACGTGATCCGTACCGACTACAACTCGTCGGCTCTGGTGTACTCCTGCGGCAGTGTCTTCGGCGTGAGGATCGAGTACGCCTGGTTCCTGTCGCGTGAGCCCACCATGGACCAGGCGGTGCAGGACGAGTACACTCGGATCCTGGCTGACGCCGGCTCGGACACCAGCCAGCTGTCGGTGACGCCGCAGGACTGCGGCAGCCTCTTCTGAGCTGTATCAGAGGGGAACGGAGGGAAGGGAAGGGGAGGGATAGTGGCATAAAACGGTGGTGATGCACGGAATGCTTTTTCCATGGGTACAACACGTAGGTGTAAGTAAAGAGTGATCTTGTTTCTCATTCAATGATCTGTGAAATATATTTTATTAAATGTCGCTTTTGTGTTCCTTGATATTATTGAGGCGTCCATCTTTTTACCCACACATTCAAACCACAAATATCACAACCAAGTCATAAGTAGAAACGGAACAGCCAACAATGGGGTAAATCGAGGCGGAAGTGGAAGCCCTTAGTTATCTTGATGATAACTACCACGTGAACTTCTCCCGCAACAACAAAAAGCAAGCCTTGAGCAACTCCACCTTAGGACAAAAGCCGACAGGCTGGTTGGACGACCCTGTCAAAACTCTTCATTCACTGTAACCATGAAGCATAAGTCCAGAGACTGAGCCGCCCACATCTCCTCCCACCAGAAGTGATGATCTGACTCGCCGAATTCCTCTGCGGCTCTGCCTCCTTGATTTGGATGCGTTTGTCGTAATGGGCGTGAGCTCCGTACTGCTGTTTGACAAATGTCTTCCAAGTAAATGTCCAATGTGTAAATGTCTTCCATGATCCTCGATCCAGATCATGACTGTGTGTCGCCAGTAAATTTGTCTATCAATCGATGAAGATGGACAAAAAATATACTTTTGGAGTCCGATGACATTCAGAAATTGTCTGGAATCTCAAGCGACTACAGTAAACCCAACCGAAGAGTAGCTTTTGAGGGCTCAGCAGATCGGATGTTAGCCTTTATTCGCTAAACTTTTCGTCGGCAAGCACTTCGTGGTTTTACATCCTGCGCGTCGTCTTTGTCGGACCAGCCACTGCAGCCACCGTCGTCTTGTCAGCGCGCAGGCAGCTAGCGCTGAGGTGCCGCGTATGTAGCCACTTTGTCTAAGCAAAATAGAAAAGGAGCCAGACCTTCCCTAGAACTCTGGGCTTATTGTAAGAGAAAAGAGTCATTCAACTGATTCTTCATTTGTTGTAGAGCAACTGCTTCGTGCTTCGTGCTTCGGTCAGACTTCTCGACATTAGTTTGGCTTTAAACTCAACAAGAAAAAAACGATTGCTGAAGAAAATATCTCTTATATCTGATATTAATCGAGTTATCCTTTGTGCAAACCACTATAGCTGTCTGATCTCTATTGCAACTTAACCTGCGCCGGGCCGGTGCTCTGAGATTCCGCGCCGGGCCGGGGGTGTCTGAACACCCCCCTTCTAACTCGGCTCCTGGGCCATGTAGCGAGACGCGGTAAGCGGCATTCGAAAGAACGTCCAAAACAAGGCCGTCCAAAATAAGGACGAAAATACCTCGGTCATTTTTTGGGTCAGGTCAAAGGTCAGGTCACCAGAGGTCACCAAAGGTTGACAATTTCAACATTTTGGAAACTGCCCTCGGCTATCTCGGGAACCAATAGAGCTACAGCGCCGCAGAAAAGCACATTCGATAGCCCTCTTACAGACCTTTCTGAGCAATATTCTCAGATTTGGCCTCAGGTCAACGGCTTAGCCTCCAGAGGGCAAAAACTCCAAAAATAGCCGTTTTTACGAAAAGCGTTTTTTCGACAATAACTTTTGACTCAAAAGCGCCATGACATTACCTTTGCCAGCATCGTGTTCCTCTCGTCGAGACGCGTCGAATGAACTATAATTTGACCTTGAAAGGTCAACTTGAAAATGTGACCTCAGGTCAAGGTCATAACCTGACCGGAAAAGGTCATGTTGCATATCAGTCGATCCGCAACGTCGAGCCGAACACATCTAAGGCGTTTTCAGCGCTCTAGCACGCCTCTATCAGAAGTTATTAGCGAAAAACTGTTAGATTCTGTTCGTGACCTGAGATGACCTCGGGGACATAACGAGGGGTCACAGTTGCCATTTTGCGGTTCAGTGTGTCAATTATACCTACATCTCGATGTTTTAGAGTGTCTAGAATAGCGTTCATGCAAAACAGACGCTTTTTAATTTTCTCCCATTGACTTATAATGGAGAGGCCGCAAAATTCACCTGAACTTAGGTCACCGATATCAAAATTCCGAGATAAACATTTTATAGATAATGTTGCTCTCATCAATCGCTGAAAGTTTCAAGGCAATCGATCAATCGGTGTAGCTATGACGAGCGTTATTTTTTCTGAGGTTAGGTCACTTGGCGTGACCTGGTGACCTGACCTAAGGCGACCTGGGTCTGAAATTTTCACAACATGTGCGGAAAAGATTCACAAACAGGTGTGCCAAAAACGGCGGCGCTCCGCGCCGCCATTTTTGAGATATCGGCGAAAAACCGCAGGGGGGGGTGTTCAAACACCCCCGGCCCGGCGCGGGTTAACCTATTCATGGCGCCTCAAGTTCACTTTTACTTCGTCTCCGCAACCTATCTTTGAGTTATGGCCAAATTCTTGCCAAGGACTATAATCTGCTCTTTTGGCCTGCCCATTTTCATCTCAGGTTTCTGTTTATCGTTTCCCCAATAACATATAGGCATAGTAGCAAGCCGTTAAAAATCACAATACAACAAATATTGTGTATATTTATCAAATTTGCACATCACAAAGACGATCATGTCAGTTGCACTGACAGCACGATAGTTATTCAAGCACTCCACAGTCCACGCCTGTTGGACAGGAAACCGAGATGATATTGCCATCTCAACAAATGGGGTCTGCCAGTGCCCTACCCTTCACATCATTAGCAGTAAATTCTCCCTACTAACTATTCCCTTCAGAGCCAGGTCAGAAGAGGTTGCCACAGTTCTGTAGCGTCACCTCTAGCCTACTGATGTCCGATCCGGCATCGCTCAGGATCTTGATATACTCGTCCTGCACCGCCTGATCCATGGTGGGCTCACGCGACAGGAACCAGGCGTACTCGAACTTGATACCGAGCACATTGACGCAGGAGTAGACCAGCGCCGAAGCGGTGTAGTCGGTGCGGATCACGTTGTAGGCGCCGACCGAGCCCTGGTCGAAGTGGACGGTCAGCTCGGCTGGGTGCGCCGGGTCCTTGGCCACCGCCGTGCCGGTGATGAAGTCCAGAGAGCCGTCCGGCTTGATGCCGCGGTTCACCAGACTGATGGAGCCGTCGGCCTCGGCGGTGTAGTTGGCCTGGCCGCATGTGTCGCTGTTCTCACCGAACAACGGGTACTTCTGGATCTCGTACCAGTGGCCGATGTACTGGAAAAGAGTGGAGGTGCGTCACCATAGAATGAAGATCTTGCTGCATCAAAACAATTTTAATCATCTTTAATTGTGCAGGCATGACAAAAACAGCACATAGCACCTTCAAATAGCGTAAAGTTAAATAAAGTTTTGAGAAGGACAAGAAGCTGCAAAAGTTTTCAGAAAGCAAATAGATAAATATCTGCTTCTAGTGCGTGAAAACTTATCTAATATATTATGAGACGGACACAACACATTCGGATGGACGCGTTTCGTCGAGAGACTTCTTCAACACCCCTTCAGAAATGGAAGTGATACAAGCACTGAATATTTCTGAAGGGGACAGGGGAGTTGAGGAAGTCTCTCGACCAAACGCGTCCATCCAAATGTGTTGTGTCCGTCTCATAATATATATATATATATATATATATATATATATATATATATATATATATATATATATATATATATATATATATATATATATATATATATGAATACTTAGGAAGCAACCCTTGTTCAAGACATGTTTCATTGAAGAAGACCGCATTTCGTGTGTTTTGTATATAATCGCTTGAAAATGTCATGCTGAATATGACGAAACCGGTTGCGATATAAATGACTATTCTTGGAGAGTTACTGAAGGGTCTTAATGATAACGATAAGCAACACGTACGTTCTATCGAAAAAGTCCAAAAGAAGCTGATTAACACACGAAATGCGGTCTTCTTCAATGAAACATATATATATATATATATATATATATATATATATATATATATATATATATATATATATATATATATATATATATATATATATATATATATATATATATATGCACAGGTCGCTCACCTGTGCAGCATCGAACACGTCTAAAGCGGGGATGTCAGGGCAGGCGGCCATTCCGGAGGCCACCAGGCCGCAGACGGTCAGCAGGGTGGACAGCATGGTGAACGTGAACCTGTTGGAGCGGGAGCAGAGGGCGCAGTGCGGCTCCGGCGGCGACACCCTCCTTTATACGGCTCAGGTATGTGCTAACAAAGATATGATGTTATATAAGAAACAGCAAACAGAGCTGTGGAACATTTTCAATTGCCCCAGTTATATAAACAAAGAGAGTGTGCATTGCGCATGACAAATGCATTCTGTCCGATGCTCAGTATCAGTACAAACTACAAAGAACGCTTCAATGCTAACGCCGAGTTAAGCCTTCTTCTGTCCTTGGTATATGTCTGATGGTTCAGGGCTGTGTCATTGGACCCATGTGAAACACCTCAGGACGACACTGCATTGTCAAATGCTAGCCCGCACCCCTCATCAGGGCTATTCTGGACTTGACCCGCCGTAAGAGGTGGAGGTCTCAAGTGTTATTTTCAAAATTACGGAGCCGCTGATTTTCAGAGCTCAAACGGCAATATGATGTCCCCATCGCCAGAATAAAAAAGAATTTCATTGAATATAGTGCTACGGATCGGATGATGTCACAGAGTTGCGACATTTTTCAACACTATACACATGTGTGTGTTTGTCACCTGACGCAAGGCACGTCATTTTTTCTATGTACCTACATATTTTTGCTCCATCAAGTTCTATTGTTAATTTCTTCAATAATGTCAGGTTAGGTCACAAGGGTTGGATTTAAGTGGCCTAAAAGCCATAAACATATATGGGGGGGGGGGTGACACATCGCTTACGGTCAATTTTGCATTTCATTATCGACCATGGAAATATTAGTCCAAGTTCACGTCAAAATCAGACTGAGGAGGTCAGGCAAGGTCAAAGTTAAAAGACGTGGTGTAAAGAGTAGCGGGATATTCGTTAGCTGTCATGTTGAGATGATGCAAAAGTCTACGTCACCTCATTATGTTTACATATCATGATGCATTGTTGCGCAGGATTCATTTTAAAAAATATCGGTACCTTCTTGTTTGGTTTGAGCCTCTGAATAGCCACCTGGGTTTCGCTGAATGTATCTCCACGTGATTTTCCTTGCGACAGATTGAAATGAACTAGACATGCTTGAAAACGTTTGTGCTTGACCAGATACCCCTATAGTTATATGAAGTGTTGGGCTCTACACGCGATAGAATCCAACAGGAACTCTTCAGGGCTTGCATACTTAAATTTGTGCAAGACAGAACTGGCACAGAGCACATGCGGCGTGGAGGAAAATGGAAATGTCTTCGTCCAACGTCACTCATAAGTACAGTATTCCTTCAAAGCGCATTGCCATGCCGGTGCGTCAAACCGTGCATGATTTGAGTGAGTCTTCCTATAGCGCCAGCCTCTTTTCCTGCATCTGCAATGTCTTCAAAGCAAATAAATGTATTGACGCGAAACTGTCTAATGTCTATGCCTTGGGCTTCATCAATTTGACAAGTTTCAGCAAAAGGAAAATTTCGTACCTAACCTACCGTAGGCCGGTCGGAAAGGATACCAAATTTTAGCTCAATTTGATTCTTTTGCGGCCTCCAGAGTGCTTATAATAGATGCTTTGACCTGACCTGTGATATCATCAGTACTCGAGAACCATCAAAATTAAATTTGCAGAACAGTTTTCCGGGACCATCACGCGCTGTTTCAATTAAAAAAAAATCAGACTAATAGTTTCGTTGGCGATGAGATGAGTGGCTCCGTACTCACCTGTTTAACTCACCTGTTGGGTTTCCTCAGCCTTGCTCTTAGGAGAGGAGTGAGAAGGAGGGAAACCCAAGTCGTTCAGAGACGCGCCAATTCCAAAGAATGTAGTTGGACACAAGCTGGGGCCAGTGGGTGGGCCTTGAGTCAGGGAACTGGCGTTGTGCGTCTGCATGTGAATTGTTGTGGAAACTCGACAAGCCTACCCTAGTTGGTGCTAATGCTTCACAAAGAAAGAAAGAAAGAAAGAAAGAAAGAAAGAAAGAAAGAAAGAAAGAAAGAAAGAAAGAAAGAAAGAAAGAAAGAAAGAGAAACGGCTGTGAAGTGTAATGCAAATGCTGTCTCATCCGCAAACAAAATGGGTGAATGACATGTGAAGGAAGGCCAGGCATGGTGGGAATGCAGGAATCAGGAGGCAAGTGGTGAATGACTGATTGGAGCTCCATGGCGCATCTGACCCTGTCCTTGCTTGTTAAGAACAGGGCGCATACCATGGGGGGGGGGGATCCAATGGTTTGACATCATACCGATCGTAATCTGTCATATAACGTAGCAACATTAGACTGAGTAATCGTAAAGTTTCGCGCCCAACACCTCTGCGAGTCCTCCTTTGAATTTCTGCAGGGAGGTTTCTTGCACTAGCCACCCCGGGAGGCTATTCCATTCTTTGACGACTCTGTGTGTGAAGTATCTGGACCTCGCGTCAACATGCGCGCGGATGAGCTTGATCTTGTGTCTGTGACCACGTGTTCTTCCATTTACTTCCAGACTCCACAAATCCTACGGCGAGATGTGACAGTGTCCATGAAATATTTTCCAGCACTTCAAAATATCAGCACGAAGAAGGCGACCCTGTACAGAAAAAAGATCAAGTGTTTTGAGCCTGTCACCATAGGACGTATCTTTGAGGCCCAGAATGTTACGCGTCCATAGTCTCTGGATTTTCTCTAACTTCTTGAGATCTTGAACATATCCACTGTTCCACACAGATGAAGCGTACTCAATAATGGGCCGTATGTGTGTTTCCAAATGAACATCATGAAGTCAGGTGATCGGCAGCGAGTAGATCTAAGAAAGTTATGGACAACGCCCCCAGCCTTTCTCGCAGCAAGGGCACAGTGCTCGTGGAATTTTAAACTGTCATTCACGGCGACGCCCAGATCAGTGTAGGCCGAAACGTGCGGTATTTCGGTGCCATTCAATGTGTATGAAATGATGAACTGGGCGTGATATCGGCGCCGAAAATGGAGCACAGCGCACTTTCGCAGGTTAACCCTATTAGTGGCAGGGGGGGTTGTTTTTATCCACCCCTCAGGTTTTTCGGGAATATCTCCGAAACCGCTGAAGCTACGATGCTGAAATTTTCTGACTTTTCCTAAAACTAAATTGGGCACATTCCCTGAAAATTTCAAGTTCATAACTTTACCAGGGGCGGCTCCAGAGCACTGGGAATTGGGGGTCCTATTCGTGAAGCGAGTCATTTGGGCGAAGATCACGATGCTGCACCAGTTTTACGAACAGTGAATGAAAGGTATCATGTGATAACATATACAAAATTATTGTGCATCCTCTTTTGACACGTTTTTGCTATAATAGGCGGATCCAGGCGTCCAAAAAGGGGGGTTATTTTTTACCTCCCAACATAGGTGCCCTGACACCGCCTATGCATGACCAATACAATTTTAGTCGTTCTCTCATAAGAAAATTGTAACATAACAAGACCATTGCCACCCTTTTTAGAAACAGTACCAACAAAAACCTTATTAACTATACTTTTTGTGTACCCCCAATCTCAATGATCTCTATCCGCCTATGATTTTTGAAAAGGCATATTTTTAGGATCCATGTGAATTCCTGGTTCATTCTCTATCGATCGGCAAAAGTTGCGTTAAGATTGGTTCAGAAACCTGGCCGTGATAAACAGTCTAAAATGTATCTGCAATTTGCCCGTTTTTACCCCCCCCCCCCTCTACCCCCTATTGACATTTCTTAATTTTTTTTTAGAAATGTAGATCTCGTTGAGCCAAATCGAATGCCGTTTGAATTTTGAAAATCGGCCCGTTAGATCTCGAGATATCAAGGGGGGGTCGTAAACAGCCCCCCCTGCCACTAATATGGGGTAGCCAGGAGCCTGCCACTAATAGGGTTAAGCGCCAGCCCCCACGATGTGGCTGTGTCGTACAGTAGGTCGATGTCCCTCTGGAGATCTTCCGCTGTAGACAGAGGGGCTTCTCTGTCCATCTTCATATACACTTTCAAATCATCCGCCAATATCTTGTAGCTACTCGTCAAAGTTGAAGCGATGTTATTTATGTACAATAGGAACAAAATCGGTCCTAGAACGGAGCCCTGTGGTACATCACTCACCACCTCTGTTGGCTTGCTTGTCGTGTCTTTAACCAGCACTTGCATTTCTCTTCCCACCAAGAAATCATACAGCCAGTCAAGAAGCCTTCCCTGCACACCGATCTGTCTTAGCTTCTCGAGTCACCCGCGTGATAAAGAAAATAGAAAATGCCACAAGTTAGCATTTAGCTTAAATACCAAGTGCGTGTTTTAATGGAAGGTCGCTATTTTATACTTTTACCGTCTTCATGCACTTAATTCGCCTAGTTTCACAACGTTGCCGCGTAGGTACCGAACTGCCAGCCATAGCTCGCCCTCTTTTTTTATTTTCACTTTTCCTTGGTGCCTGTTTATGGATGGTTGTTTTTCGTCGACAAATAAACAGTAAGTACGTCGACAAGTAAACAGTTACATAGCAGATCAGCATATATTTATCACGTGTATCACATGTTGCAGCACAATGATAAGTAAGTCAGAATACAAAACAAACTCTCCAGCCCTGTTTGACAGGAAACACAGGTCAGACAAATGCCCGTCGCACCTTCCTTTATATCATCCGGTGGTTAAAATTCCCCTCTATTCCCTCTGTACAGCTCAGAAGAGGCTGCCGCAGTCCTGCGGCGTCTCCTCCAGCTGGCTGATATCCGACCCAGCATCGGTAAGGATCTGGATGTACTCGTCCTGCACCGCCTGGTCCATGGTGGCCTCACGGGACAAGAACCAGACGTACTCCAGGCTGATGTCTCCCAGCGGTGTGCAGGCGTAGACCAGCGCCGAGGCGCTGTAGTCGGTGCGGATCACGTTGTACTCGCCGCGGAATCCCTCGTCAAAGTAGACGCTGAGCGAGGCGGGGTGCTCGGGGTCCTCGGCGCGTGCCGTGCCCTGGATTGAGTCGATGGAGCCGTCGGGCTTCTTGCCGCGGTTCTCTAGGCGCACGGAGCCGTCAGCCTGGGCAGTGTAGTTGGCCTGGACGCAGGTTTCGCCCAGCTCACCGATCAGAGGGTACTTCTGGATCTCGTACCACTGGCCGACGTACTGAAACGGAGGCGCATTGCACTGAACTTTGGCGGAATTTCACGGCAACAAAACAATAATTCCAAGGCACTTCAGCAGCATTCAGTTTCAACATAACCTTAATTGAATAGGTACTCGGCTCTAAAAGGACTTGGCATATTGTACGAATGCTCATTCAAACTTCTTTTCAATATTCATTTGCAGTTTCAACCTGCTTCACAGTCACTCACCTGGGCAGCGTCGAACACCTCCAGGGAGGGGATGTCGGGGCAGGCGGCCATCCCGGAGGCCACCAGGCCGCAGACGGTCAGCAGGGTGGACAGCATGGTGAACGTGAACCTGTTGGAGCGGGAGCGGAGGGCGCAGTGCGGCTCCGGCGGCGGCATCCTCCTTTATACCACTCAGTCACCAACAGAGATAAGAGATTATATAAGGTGCTACGAAACAGTCTTGGGAATATTTTTAACGGAAACACATGTGTATCACTTCGCATCTTTGGCCAAGTTTTGAGGCGTTTCGGTCCGATTGTATTTGGTACGCTTATTGAATAGTGACTACACCATAACGGCGTAAAATCATGTTATCTGTACGGTTGTAAATGATAAATATTTTCCTTTGGTAAATGAGTATAACATATCTGCCCCACCACACCAGAGCCTATTTCTAATTAAATGTTCTTCGATAAACACTTCCTGTATTCTATATATCCACAAGCATACTAAGTAGTCTATCCCGGAGGTTTCAACTTTCATCATCGCTTTATCCAGCGCGTTTAAAAAAAAAACTCGAGTTTCCTTGAACTGTTGTGGCCCCACACATCGTCACCAAATGCGTGGGATACGGAAGCAGAACCTTATCTGATAGGATAATACGGCACTGAGGACTCTATTTGCCATTACGTGATACATCGTGTGATAAGTGTAAGAGTCAACGCAATGCTGACTAGCATTTTAGCACAAATTTCCTGAGTGTTTCGGGTATCCTGAAAAGTTCACTGACGATCGATGGCACAAATATATGTAGCAGCATTTATGTCCTTGCACTGGACAAGGTTTGCATTCCCCAAAGTGCATGCATACCCTTGCACAAGGTGTCAATCCCCGATTTGAAGCGTGCCATGTTCCCGTGCAATTATCGCCATCAGCACAGTGCAGAACATCTCCTCAGCCTCACAGCGTTATCCAAGTATTACGGCACCGCTCCATACCCCGTATGTAAACATTTTCCGTTTATTTTGGACGCGTGCGCCGCCTGTGCCGCCCGCTGAAACTCGAGACGCGGTGCGGCGGCCGGCATAGCTCACGTCATTGGCGGCGACTGTCAGACGACTAATTGCCTGTTCGTGTTCGGGGTGGGGGAGAGGGAGAAACAGACGGGGGAGAGGGAGAGCAGAGAAACACAGAACGTGACTGCCAATGACACGTCTACCACCGCTGATCATCAGTCATTTTGGGAGCGTGTTGTTTTTACTGAACGGTTGTAGTGAACACAAATTGTTTTCGGCAATATGTGTTTAAAACATAAATAGATCATGAAAATGACGTTAATTAATAATTTTGGTAGGTACTTTTCCATATTGAAGACGGTGGCCCGTGCAAGGATATCTAAAAACATTTGCGCAAATATTGCAAGAAACCGTGTGGTTTCCAATTACTTGCGGGACACATTTGACAAATGATTACATTATATGAAATTTACAATAACTTCTATGCGTACCGTTTTGCTCGCATGCATAGAAAAGTTATAAACTTCGTAAGGAAAAAATTGAATTGGGGGCAATGTATCGCATATGGAAACAAAATACAAGTGGATTTTAAAATAGGTATGGGAACAATTAGAGTCCACGGCAGAGTAGACCAAACCATGTTCAACAACTGACCTGAAGAGTGCAAAACGATGCGCCCTTCTGCTTCTGGATCCGTCCACCCGCTCAAACTTTTTAAATTTTATTTACTACCGAGTACCGACCCGTTCCGTAGTTTGAATTCAACTCGGCTTCCACATAGCCCACGCCCAGGCGTGGCCGATCACGTGACCGCGCCCCGGGCGGGGGCCGCTCATTGGGCAGGTCGGCTGTCATCAGCCGCCCACCAATCAGCGCGCAGACAAATAATGGCACGCACCACACAGTTGATATCACACCGCTGATTGCGAGACGAGGCGCCTGTTATTCGGAATATGCAAGTCCGTTTCTCCGTTTCTGCAACACGCACTGGTAACCCCTGACAAGGTTGAGGGAGCGGGCAAACGCTCCAAATCGATGGTGAGGTGTTTGCTTCCTCCTATCATACACCGCGCAATAAGCATAGCACTAACGGACGGTAGGAGAGAGTCAGGAGTCAGGACCGTCGTGTGTCACAGTGAACACATTGCATTATATGGCTAGATAAGCTGAGATACCTAAGCTGGGTGTTTTCTATCGCGAAAGCAAATACCTATGTTTCATTCTGAGCGGTAGGTACAGTTCACAATGCTGAATTTTTAACCCAGATCCGCTCCGATGACCGGAAAATGGAAATCAGAGCAATGTAGATCCCATAATCGTGTTATTCAAGCAAGTGCTCACCACAAATTCACCGTTATGTATCAAAAAAGCCACAACCACGTTATCTTTTCTATTGCCCCTAGTACCTACTCACCCGAATAGTCCAATGCGAATTCTTGATCCGAATCCGAAGCCTCGGCCCCTGGTTGGCGGGCGCTCGTTCAGCAATGGACACACCTTTTGGCCGTGACCGGCCTTGACCTGCCGCGCACAGGGACGGGGATACAGTCGTTCCCCAAGGGTCCCGTTTACACTCACAGAGAGCGCTGTCGCAGCTAGTATAGATGTCGCCATCAGCGATAGTACGCCGCTGTTGCTGCACGCGCTAGGCTGCTCTAGTAATGAAGGAGGGTACAGGCTATAGCCTATATGTACATAACAGCATGGCACCAGAGCTGTAGTCAGCTAGCTGTTTTAGTGATGCCACCACTCCCTAGCTTAACACTAGCTGGACTGGTAATAAAAATGGAAAGGAGTGAGGGCATGACATGCAGAGGTCGGATACCTAAAAGTGACGAAATAACAAATGGTAGGCGAGAACCGTTTACTTGATTAGGTGACTATTTATTTTGCTTTGTTGGGAACAAGCCCTTTCAGCCTGAAAAAGGCCATTGCGGAGCTATGGGACGATGAAACAGAATAGGGTGGAGACATTGGACTGTGCGGACCACTGACAGTGCACTGCAGTGGTGGTACGGGAGGGTGCGTATTATTAAAGGGACCCTCCCACCTTAACATTAGTTTTGAGTTGAGATAGCCAAGTTTGCGGCCAGGCTCAGAAACCACCATTTATCCTGGTCGCAACCCCCGCAGCTTTATGGTGTTCAAGAAATTTCTTCCCTTTACTTGCAGGGTGGGACCAGCGTGGTCCCTATCTCTTAACCATTACGGGAATCTGATGACGTCATCAGGCTTTCAAACGTCCGTTAAATGTTTGACTAAAACGTTTTGTAGCACGCGGTGGTATATGCTGCTTTGCGCGCAACAAATGCCGCACTTTCAAATAAAGTCGCTAGGAACAGCGGAGATCCCAAAAAGTAAACAAAAGTAAAAGTATAATATCTTGAAAACCGGTGAATATTTTTCGATGAAATTTGGTAGATATTCGTTTTTGCTCTTTCTGAACCGAGCGACATCACTTTCATGCCAATTCATTAACTTTTTTGAAGGTGGGAGGGTCCCTTTAAGGTTCATAATGTCCAGGGCGGTACGGGAATGTCTCGATGGAGTGACCCGCCCTGCCTCTTAGACGGTCACCCCATGGAGAGGTTGTAGTTCATAGCGGACTTACCCCCACCACCGGTTGTCTGGTGGGGGTGACCGTCTGCCTTTTAGTAGAGTTATACGTCATGGTACTCACCTGCGATTGGCGACAACTGACAGTAGGCGTTCTATTTGGCATATCTGCAGCAGTCTCTTGTCGTCATTGGCCACTGCTAATCCCTTCCCTCCATTCATGTTGGTCTGCAGCAGTCCTTTAGCCTTAGCCCGTGCCAGTCCCTGTCAGATGAAGACGGTCCATCCGAAGTTGCAGGTCTATCTATAGCGAATTGCCGTCACCCTTATCAGCCATCAGTCTTGGCACCATGTCAACGTCAATCGCGAAACCTTATCGATCATCGCGTTTATTACGCTGACGTACTTATCAGACACATCATTTATCATTGCCAGTTCTCGTCACGGTTCCTTAATCCCGGCCAAAACTGGGCAGTTTTTAATCTTTAGGACATGTCCCTAGCTTGTAGACTGTCCCGGCGGATTAAAGGACGAAATGTCCTTGTTCATGTTCGCGAGTGACGGTGTTAACTGGTTACGGTTTAGAGCTCATCGTAAGGAAACTCATACGAATGCGCAATTGACGTCATGGATACGGGTAATTTAATGGTTTGGTAAAGCAGAATGTCGGCTAAATGCGCTGTACCTATAAATCAATATCTTATTAGCTTTAGAAAGTCCTTAGTTATTCACTTGTATCACAAAATATGCACGAATACTGAATGGACAAAGCACACATCACCGAGGAGAGCACGTCTTTACGCCAGCACCATTCATTGTATCACTAGATCAGTGTTCGACTGGTTTAGCGCATTCCCTAGATAGGTGGACCTTTCCTGCTTAGCGCGTCTTGGCTCAGAGTGCGGCCGGTGCAGTGTATTGCCTAGCTCAGTGAGCGTTTTGGGTTCAGCTTATACTCTGGCTCGCTGAGCCAAATGCCACTGACGGTCCGGTCTCGTGGGGTACTTACAACGGGAAACTTCCTCCATCCGTTCAGCCATGCGCCGCCTGCCGCGCGCACGGGCTCCTTAGCCAAACCACCTCGAAGGCAGTGGTCAGGTTCCGACCCAGACCCGGGATCTTCACCCAGTCGAGCAGACCAAGGTTCTCCTCAAACGAGAACAGGTAGAACCCTAACGACTGCAGCGCCAGCAGACTCTCGTAGAGTCCTCTGTAGAAGTTAGTGTGTCGCTCGGGCGGCAGGTGTGTGAGGAAGTGCAGTTCGACACCGAGCTGCTCCACCCGCGCCAGGGTGCTGCCGGCGCCGAGCGCCGCCTGCTGGCGGAACACCGACCACTCGGCACCCTCCACGTCCAGCTTCAGGTAGTGGATGGGACGTCGAGCGTGACCCAGCCGCTCGGCGATCGTATCCAGCGTCAGGAGCTCCCAGCCGCGTCGATCGTCGGCACCGTCACTGGCTCCAATATCCCCATCGTCACCGTCAGCGCCCTTGATTCCCACGGGTCGAAAGTGCACCAGCTCGTTACGCGCTACACTGGACATGTTAATGCTCGGGTCAAACGAGAACACGGTGCAGCCGAAGTCGGCCATGGAGTCGTCGAAGCTCCAGTCGTTGCTGATGCCGAACGAGTAGACGAGGCAGCGGTCTGTGTGCGGCATGTCCAGCTGCTCGCCGTCCAGACAGACGTACTTGTGGCCATCCATCGCCAGAGGCCAACGAATGCCGCGGACCTGGAAACACGCAGACGCGGCTCCAGTCAACTGGAATGGCGAACGAACGTTCCACTGGGAGAGACCTTAGATTTAATCGTAATTTGTTATATCTCTCTCATCTCATCTCATATATTTAACACATTCATTCGAAACAGACAATCAGTGTCGCCTCGATTGGCGCAAAAGTGCCGGAGCACTTAACTCGGGGCGCCTCTCGAGTCCGCACAATCACACTGGGTGCCGCCCACAGCCTCGCAGCCGCTGCCCGCCACCGCGCAGACCGCTCTCAATAGATGTCAAGGCGCCGGCGCCGAGGGCAGCGCTCTGTGACGACCGGTGTCAAAGGACTGGGCGCTAGGGATAGGTGGCAGGATGGGAACGAGAGGCAAAACGTTTGGTGGCATGGATGAATTGGTACACCGCTCGTGCTACCTCGAATTCGTCCCTGGGTCGTACCGTATTACCGTGTAGTATGAAGTCTAGTTGTTCCTTTTGTGATAAATTGTGTATGTCAATGCCTGTTATACCATTTATTATGTTTGTCATTCTCTCTCTTTCTTGTGTGTACTTTGGACATTTTAGTAAGTAATGTCCTGTGTTCTCGTTAGTTCTGCCTTGACAGTGGTTGCAATATGGAGATTCAGTTTTTTGTATTTGAAATAAATGGGATTTTAACTGTGACATCCCAACCCTTAGACGTGTTAGAAGTGTATTTTCCATTTTCGAACCATAAATATAATACTTTGGTGGTTTTTCTATATGTAAGTGAGACTTGAGATGTTTTTTAAATGAGAATAAAGTTCTAGTCTCTCTCAAGTTCTGTGGCAGTTCATTTATTAGTTTAATTGTACTGGGAAGAAACGAGTTTTTCAGTAGACAGGTTTTGGGATATATTTCCCTTCTGTTATTAGAGTTGCGAAGAAGTCGGTTGTTATTTCTTCGATCAGGGGGCAATAGTTGTTTGATATATGTTGGAGTATCGTCGAGCGTCAGTCGTTGGAAAAATACTATCTTATGCATTTCACGTCTTTTCTTTAATGAAGTCCATCCTAGTTCTCGTCTGAGATTGTTACGGAGCGAGCGAAGCGAGCGTAGTCTTTCCTTAGATTAACGGAAATTTCTGAGTATGAGCGGCCGGCCGGCCGGCCGGCCGGCCGTGGTCACGCTTTTGCGAGGCTTATATCTCAGCAACCACTTGACCGATTTACACGCGGTAACTTTTGTAGGGTAGCTTCATTCCTTCTACCAAGTATTCGACTATTCCCGATGCATGTGGGTGACCCCTTATGCACGTGCCACGTGCAAAACGAAGAGGTGTCAATTTTGTAATTGTTGCAATATCTCGGTAACTACTTGGCCGATTGCGCTGAAAGTTGGCATGTAGGTAGGCACCCACTAGGCACTGCATATACATGTGCCAGAGTTGGGGTGCTGCTGCACGTGCGCACGTGCAGGGGTCGTTTCCAGATCTCGGGAACGGCTGGACCGATTGCGCTCAAATTTGGTACACGGTTAGGGACCGGTTAGTAGGGTGCCGTGCACAAGTCAGTTGGGACCCATCTTGCACGTGCGCACGTGCAGGGTGCCGCTTCCAGATCTCGAGAACGGCTGGGCCGATTGTGCCCAAATTTGGCACATCGCTAGAGACCAGTTAGTAGGGTGCCGTGCACAAGTCAGTTGGAGGTACCCCCTCGCAATTTCGCACGTGCAAGGCCCACCCTCTCGCTCGCTCCGTTAGTCGCCCCAAAAGGCGTTATACTGGTATGTCGGAGTTCTGAATAATGTCGCAGTCACAAGTCTGGCCCCTCTGTTCTGAAGTGTTTCAAGTCGTAAAGTATCGTGTGCTGTTAGCAGTCCGTCGTAAATGATGTCCGCGTAGTCAAAATATGGCAATACATGTGTCGTATATATCTGTTGCAATAAGGTCCTGGGCAAGTAGGAAGCGATACGATAGAGTGGGCTAAGGGCAATGTTAACTCTTCTGATGATGTCGTTGATGTGCTCGTGAAACCTAAGGTCGTTCGATATTGTCAATCCCAGGTGTTTATGATTAGCAACAACTGGGATGGGCATGGCTGCAAATGTTAGTTTTGGTGGGATTTTCTGTTTGCGTTTTGTGAAATGCTGTTGAAGAGTTTTCCTTGGGTTAAACTGTATCATCCAGTTGTCACCGTACTTGTGGATTTCATTTAGATCTCTTTGAAGTGAGCTTTCAACTGTTTCTCTATTATTAGGAGAGTGTGGGGCTATCAGACAAGCATCGTCGGCGAAGAATAGCATTTCATTTTCGGTTTTTGTTGAAAGGTTATTTAAGTACATTAACCCTCGCATGTGTGCGGCGTTTGCCAGCTTCTAATGTGTAGGGGGGGGGGGGGTCGGTTGGACCCCCCCCCCTTGCCGTTTGGCCCCTGATCGAGCTAGAGCTTCGCGGAAAAAACGAGCGTGTTGCCCGTGACGAGAGGAAGCCGATGATACCCAATTTTAAGGTCCTAGGTCATTGGTTGACCTTCCAGGTCAGGTCAATGACCCAAAGTCGGGAAAATCGGGACCTGTTAGAAAGTCGTAAAGTGTGGCTGCTAAGGGGTTTTTCGGGGTGCTGATCACGAATATCGTGTTAGTTTTGATCACAGATGATGTCTTGAAGCATTTAGACCAGGTCGGGTCAGGTCAGGTCAGGTCAACCAGTAGGCGTCGTGACGGGTATTCGTAGTACGTGTCAACCGCCTCTGACAGCTTCGTAACATGTTACGAAGTCACCAAAACTACTTCGTAAATGTTCAAATGGTTGCTAAATTCGAATTCAGCTCCAAAAATTAGCCTAGAAACATGTAAAACTCGAAAAAGTGACCCGAGGTCACCCGAGGTCACCAAAGGTCAATGACCTGACCTGACCTTCAGGTGACCTTGACACACATGGGAGTAACATCAAATCACATGTTTGAACGTTTGAAACCACGAAAAGCTTGCAAACACGCGGCTAGTGCGAGCCGACATACGCGAAATCGCGATTCCGGCCAAACATGGTCTCGGAAAAGAGGTCACAGGTCAAAGGTCATTTGGGTCAGGGTCATGAAATTTTCAGGGTAGGTGTCAAATTGATCAATGCGAGGGTACTGAAAGTTTCGTCGCGATCGGCCGCTTTTTACGCGAGTTATTCGCGAAAAACCATGGGGGGGGGTCCATCCGACCCCCCCCCCTACACATGCGAGGGTTAACGCTAAAAGGGGGCCCAAAACTGAACCCTGAGGGCATCCCGCTTGAAGTGGTCGGAGCGAAGATGTGGAATTGTTTATTACTACGCGTTGATGTCGATTTGTTAAGTATGAAGTTAGCCATGGTATAAGGTTTGCCAGACCGAATTCATGTTCACATTTGTGGAGAAGGCCCTTGTGCCAAATTTTCTCGAAATAGCGGCTGATGTCCAGATAGATAATGTTATGGTCCTTCCCGTCGTCAAGGTTTTCATATAACGAATGGGTTAAGTAGAAAAGCTGCAACTGAGTCCCATGTCCGGGCCGGTAACCGCTTTGCCGCTCCGTTAGTAGGTTGTGTTCAGTTATGTGGTTGTAAATACGTTTGAATACTATTTTTTCAAATATTTTCGAGATGCAGCTTAATAAACTGATGGACCTGTACCCTTCTACATCTGCTGGACTACCTTTGTTTTTAAAAATTGGTTTCACGTTTGCAATTTTCCAGCTCTTTGGGTACTGGCTTGTGTCGATAGACTTATTGAACAGTTTTGAAAGTGGTTCAGCGAGAATAACTGCCGCTAACTTTATTATTCTTACTGGTACCTCATCGGAACCGGTTGATTTATTTACATTTAATCTATTTATTATACTTAATACTTCTCGTTCTGATATTTTGGCCGCCCTTAATAATGGGACTTCTGGATAGTCCTGTGGCTGAATCACTCTCGTTTCGCTGTCTTCAAGATGTGATTGGGCGGCAAAATATGCATTTAATAAATCAGCTTTCGCCTCATCATGTTCTATTAAGTTGTTACTGTTATTATTGTTATGCAAAGGGGGAATATGTGAAGATTTTGTTTTCCCAATCATTTTCCTTATGATTGAGTGGTACTTGTGTGGGTTGTGTTTCATTTGGACAAGGAGATGTCCTTCTTTAATAAGATAATTACGCTTTAATTTGTGTACCATTGCTGTAACTTGGTTACGGCAATGCCTCCATCTATTCCACTGCAATTTATTTAAACTGTCATCGGCACTGTTTTCTCTTCGAGCTACTCTAAATAGTCTGTCCCTTTTTCTCATCAAACGTTTCAGTTCAGCAGTTACCCAGGGTTTATCTTTTGGTCGGGGGGACACTCTCTTCTTGGGAATACTTTTTTCAGCTGCTTTCATTAGTGCAGAAGTGAGCAATGCGGTAGCGGTGTCTATGTCGTTGTTTAGAATACCGTCCCAGTCCGTTGTCATAAGTTCGTGCGTCAGTCGTTTGGAGTCGAGTTTGGAATAGTCCCACACCACCTTGTGTCGCGTCAAAGTTTCTTCTACCCAGTCGTTGAGGGTTACATATATTGGACAGTGGTCTATGGAGGAAAACGGTGGCAATACTCCGCTGTCTATGACGCTTTCCCGGTCGGATACCAGGCAAAGGTCTCTGAGATTCGCGATACTGCCCACGTAACGCGTCGGCTCGTTTATGAGTTGGGTAAATGATAGAGACTCAGTGGTTTCCTTTAATTGTTTCTCAAATTTAGTGATGGGAGTATGATTTTGCAGAGGATCTTGCAAGAATGAATTACCGGCGTTGAAATCTCCCATTATTATTATCACGGACGGATTGTACTTCTGAGCTTTAAAGACACTTTCCGAGAAGTTACTCAAAAAAGTTTCTAAGCGCTCAGTTGGTAAGTTTGGGGGTAGGTAGAGACAACAGGTAAGAACAGTTAATTTTTTAAATTTGGTTTTCGCCCAAACCCACTCTTCCTCTCCGACTTCGAGATCTGGTAGCCTTGTCGCTGCCAGAGACGTGTGGAAGTATAATGAGACACCTCCTCCGTGCCGGTTTCGGTGTCGAGTGAAGGGAGCATGAAAGCTTCTTAGGGTATAAAGACTAGGATGTATTTCTTCGTTCAGCTTTGTTTCTGAGAGACCCAGAATGTTTATGTTGTTGTTAGCTACAAAGTATTCTAAATCGTCCTGTTTAGTTCCTGCTGTTATGCTGTTTATGTTCACGTGAGCCATATTAATTTTGTGACGTGTTTTACCCGAGCTTACCGTACAAGAATCATAGTGTCCGATGATATGTGTACGATCAGAGGATTCGTCCGAGGCGGCACGAGCGGTTCGGGCAATGTGGCTGCTGACCCGGCCGTCCAGACGCGCCCCCAGCACCTCACCCGCAACGCTACGGTTATCCATGACGAGCAGCCGCCGAAGGCGCGGGCGGGCACCCACCACGACGTTACCCTCAGTCACAACATCATTATCGCAACATCCTAGTGAATAAGGCACATAAATGAACAAAGAACATCAGATATACGCTAACAAAAAAGAAACACTCACACAAAAAAAAATCAAATAAAAAAACATGCAACGTGTAAACACCTTAATCCACCTTACATACATGTTACGCTTACATGAGCTGTTTCTGTGCTTTAAACCGTAAATGGATCGATTATTCCGAAATGCGATCTCTATGGAGAAAAAAAAACATTTACGCTAAATGTGAGCCTACTGAACCAACTCCCCAGATCCCAATCGGTATAGATCAATAAACTAACAAAACAGCGTTAAATGGGTGTGCCTTGTTCGTTCTAGCTCGAATCTATTTAGGGAATCAGCCTCTCTTCCCTTCAGTTACATAAGCCAATAGTGGATCTGTGAGCGAGCCTCGCCCACTATTCGCTAATGCAAAATGTCCTCGCCATGCAGTTCGTGGTGGCTGCTTCAGTCATGAGGCCACTGTTCGTTCTTACCACTCCGCCGCCCATCCTGGTCACTTTGCGACAGGTGCGCCGATGTGGGTGGCTGAGGTAGTGGAACAGCTCGCGCACCATCTCCTGGTCCGTGGCAGGCATCGGCGGCAGCACGTTCACAGCCATATCCTCCCTGCACGGGGATGAGTCGGTGGACCCACTGTTGGAGGGAGAACAAGGGGGTGGGTTAAGAGTCTCGTCAGAAGAATAACAGGGGCATGAGAGAACAGCAGCTGACTAAGAATGTAAATATATAACATATTTGACAGAGAACTGCTAAAGCTATTGGACTACCTAATTCAGAGTCACTCAGTGCATGAGGTGCGTTCCCATTACACGTTTATTAGAGCGCTCTGCCCGCCTGTTTTTCAGCTATGAGCCGTACCTATAGAAGTTAGAAGATTAGAAGAACTTGATAAACCGTACATAAGTTCTGCAATGAAGCATGAACGCGAAATCCCCTTATGAAAAGTTCAGTTGGTATGCTATTCGCAATATGTCAAGCCTTAGCAGGCCGAAGCTGAACGAGGGACCATGCTACTGGAAGTCCGGGAGCTCCCACGATTAACAAATCGTGCGGCAAGCCATGACAGTACCCACTGAGTCCGTATTTCGTGGCTCACCTGAGAGGGTCCGTCAGCCGCCGTGAGACCACGATTAGAGTGGAGGTGACCATCAGCACCACCCAAAGTCCGACACTGCGAGCCGGGAGCAGCCTTCTGATCTTCCTCCGCCATGACGTCATAACGATAAAATGACCACCGGCTAAAATCCGGCTATTCACACCAGAGAGGGCGGCCTCAGTAGGTACGGTAAAATCAGCTCCACGCCATGAAACTGGGACGCCGGTGGGACTCAACTCAACTGAATTCAACTCTTCATCATTCAGATTCACTTCACTGCATTTCATTTCACACAATACATAGGTACAAATTCACGAACTCGTCATCCCCTGGCAAAAAGGCTTACGCATTTGAAGTCCACCTCAAATCAACTCAACTTCACGTCACTCTGATCTACCTCAACCCTTCAGCACTCAACTCCACTCATCTCATTCAAATCACACATTTGTTCAGCTCGCCACTCTGTTCAGTCTCTCTGGCCACTCGGTCCACCTCTCTGACTGCCCTGCTCAGATGTGGTTCGTGTCTATGGTGCACCGTCCCGGCGCCCGCCGCCGGCGGCACATCATCTAGAGGACGCTGACCTCTGGATGGAGGCCGGGCCGGCGGCTCTCTGCTGCACGGAGACGGTTCGTGGCGCCGCCGTGCAATGACGTACCCCGAACCACATTCATCGAGCTGCAGATTTGTCCGCCAGCCGAGCCAAGGTCAGACGGTGAACCGGTAAAACGGTTCCAATGTTAATTAGCCGGCTGGATAGTGCTGACACTTGGAGAGAAAATCATCTCATTTCTCCCGTGAATTTCTTCACTTTGTTCGATCAAATGAAACGGAGATCCAGTATCATTGATTCATATCCGGGATATATAATCCAGCCGTCAGTTTGTGAACATGAGCTCCATAGCCAGGTCGATGAGGTCGTGCAATAAGGTGTGCCATCAATTATAATTGCAGGCATTTTGCTAAATATCACCGTGTTTCCTACTGTTATTGCATTGCAACATGGTATTCTAATGGTTATTCGAAACAGCTAAGTTTTCAAAGCAGTCAGATTTTAGGAATTGCATGTAAATATGAAAACCTGAACATTATTCGAGGCATTCACATTTAAACGTCATACCTTGGAAATAGCCACGAATAAGCATAGTTTTATGTGAATGTTGAGATTCTAATTCTAGAGCGACCTATATGAAAACCTGATCCTTTGAGATTGATATCGATCTCTTTCTCTATGTGGGTAAGCTACCGAAGTCTGGTACTTTCAATACATCTCATTAAAAATTGGAGGAGGAATTTGGAGGAACATTGGAGGAAGCATTTGGTATTTTCGAACCACGGGCCTCGTAATTGCAGCCTGTCCTGTTCGAGCTCATCGCTTCCCCCCCCCCCCCATTGCATATCCACGAGCTGTAAAAATTCTTTCCGCTGTCTTGAAGCCGGTACCTTACAATTTCCACAGGGCCTCAAACAGCAGAATTGCTACTTGCGTCACGAAACGCAACTGTCACGCACATGGATCCCCGATACCCAGAATATGTCCACATCAACTGGGAACGGAGTGCATTACCTGTATATTACCTATGCGTGGCTATGTTAAACTGATTACTGCGGCCTCCGGCGTTTTTTCCAGGGGAATTCCGTGACGTCATGTCCGCACTGAATGCTCACTGCTCGTGGCTTCGTTTCACAATACGAGGTCAGGCACCTCAGTTCCGGCCTCGACCAAACAAAGCTCGCGGGGTCGGGACTCGGGACGAGCCGGCGACCCCCAGCCGGGCCGGACTCGGTTTTCTGACGGGGACTATCTCCGGTCCCATCAGTCCCGCTCTGAACCGCTCAGCAGGTCCGCCGAGTACCTGACGGCGCACCTGGGCCCAGCAGCTCGCTGTGACGTCATCGGTGACGTCACAGCTCGGCGGCGGAGTCTGGACGACCGGGTTTTCCGGCGGCAGGGGAGAGCGAGGTCGCCCGGCGAGCGGTGACGTCGAGCGGGCGAGGGAGGAGGGCTGTCGGCCGGCCGGCTGGTCAGACCAGTCGAGCTCGGCGTGCGGGCAGGAGACGCTGTCGGAGACGGGGACAGGAGACGCTGCCGGAGACGGAGACAGAGACGGGACCTGACCAGGTGAGACGGCCGACCGGCCACCGACCGACTGCGGATACCCGCGCAGGTGTTGTGATTATTGTCGTCTGCTCATTCTGAGAAAATATGATGTTGCCGAAGCGTCATTATTCTTTTCCTCAGGTTAATAAATCTCTAAAAAGTTAATTGTTTTCAAAACGGGCTTCGCTGAGGAAAACTAAATATTCCTCAAACGCCGGATATTTCGCTAAAGTTCTAAAGTTCAAACGAATCTAGATGCTAAAGTCGCTGAAGTTCAAACGTAGGTATCAATAGATGCCATTAGTGGCTACATTAGCCTTTCATCTAATACGATAGCATGCTGCATGAATGAGTTGATTACACAAGTTTGGTTAGAGAAGAGTAGCATAGTTAGTTACCATGCTGTCCGAGAAGCCGTCACCTGGCAACCACGTTACGTATTCAGTCGAGCTTAGAGACGTGACGGTGTTACCTTTTTATCTGAATCGCATGGTTGAAATGACAATTTACATTATAAACTCAACACAATGTAATTTCTCTGAATGTCCACTTTGATACGGGTCTCTCTCTCTCTCTCTCTCTCTCTCTCTCTCTCTCTCTCTCTCTCTCTCTCTCTCTCTCTCTCTCTCTCTCTCTCTCTCTCTCTCTCTCCGTTTCTTTGTCTCTCGAAGTCGACTCTCATCCTTGTTGCTTAGTATGCCTGCCTCTATCTGTTCTTTTCCTTCTCTCTCCCTTCCCAAGCAACAGATGCAGTGCGCCGAATCACGGTTGTCAATGCAACTGCATGGTGATTGGAGACACCTTGACTTGTCTTGTATACCAATGAACAAGTGCACCAAAGTTGTCTACCTATCTGTGGTTGATTATTTATGAACAACAGGCGCCTTGGCTGCAGAGAATATGGATAACGCATATCATTTGTGTATGTGTGCATATGCAAAGGAGGATAATTTGAATCGAAACCAGTTCTATCGTTTGTGGGAATACGTCAAGGGCTTCGAGGCTGGAATGTAGTCCTGGGACCTACAATGAGAAGGTTCTTTTGTTTGACGGTTGAAAGTAATTGCGTTTTTGTACACTTTGGCCGTGATGACTCACCGAAATCGTTGACTTGTGCATTAATGTTTTTTTGTTTTACTCACAACATGCGTGACTTTGCCGTTTACAGGCTAGTGGATAGATTTAAATGCCTGTACATACAACGCAGTTCAGTCGTGTTGCTCAATGGTATTTTCACGACAATTGGACCATAACGAGTGGCAGATACCTACAATTTATAAACAGTGTGACACCATCGGACCGGGTTGACGGGCCTTGCAGACGTCACCAGAACTTAATCCTGCAGAGGTGGTGGCTTGTCTGTTCAATGTCAAATGCCTGCCGGCCGGGCCGCGACCTGGCTGTTTTTCCGGATGTTCTATGCAAGCGAGGAGATTTTCACATCATTCATACGCAGTGAATACCTTCGTGACTGGGCAATGGAGACAGAACCTAAACGCTGTTTCGTTTTTGCGTCTCATTCCAAGAACTTGTCATGCGCGATTATCATTCAAGCCTTGAGATAGTCGACCCAAGAACACGAGAAGAAAGGTTTTAAAAGCGCTGCGCATCTCAAACTCTGGACCTGCATTGGTCACAAAACATACCTATAGAACCGCTGTGACTTATATTTGTGAGGTGCCGCAATGTCTTCGGACGTGATGTTAAAATGTGTCTTTACAATTTGAAAAAACTCCCAGTGCCTTTATCAGTAATTTTGCCTTTATCTGCACAAGGAAAGGCTCCCTGTCCCTAATCTCAGTGGCACAGACAGTGCAAACTGCAAAACATGTCTCGCCAATCGCAATTACTCAACCTTTGCGTTTATGATGTCATGTGCAGGTGACAAGGCGGATTAACTAGTTAAGCTGTTCTCGATAGACTTGGCGCATTTCCCTGGAACATGACGTCATAATGCGGACGCTTTTCTTTGTTGTCTGGACAAGTCACAATGCAAACTGAAAGTGCTACTGACGCGAGAAGCAGTTAGCACTGCTGCGCAGTGAATGCTGCTGGAATAACCAACTCGTACCGTCTGTTTATATAGCTTATCGAAGCCGTAATGTCTATTAGTTTCTCTGATGTAGCGCTGACCTTCATAAGTAAATGAATGTAGTTATTGCCATATAGGTACACCATAGATAAACCTCGTAATGCAAGGTGTTCTCGACATTAGCCTAGTCATTGCTGCGAGGAAAATGCACCTGTTTCGCATTGTCTGACCGCAGCTGGCCGTACGGGGCTCGGTCTGGCGGTGATCCACCACCCTCCCTGAGTCCCGCGGAGCCTCCTGTCCGGCCGCACATGACCAGTCATTTGCAAACACAAACACAACCGCCGCGGGCGGGCAGGGCTGCCGGTGCAGGGCTAGACCGACGGGGATGGATCCGGCGCGCTGATTGGCTAGATTCGGCTGACGCGAGCGGTATCAGCGTTTCGAGAACATGGACTGCTGTCTGACGATGTGCACAGAGCAAACTGCTGCTAACGGAACGGCGACCCAGCCGGCTAAAAGTGGTGTAATTTAGAGGTATAAGCTGACCTCGGGCTTGCATCAACTGAATTGTATGTGCAATTTTTTATTGAACAAATCTGAAATCTCATTCGAACAAATGTCACCTAAACTTCATTAGTAGACAAACACCGAACACGCTCAATTTGAGCGAAAAATAGAAATAAACGTTTGTATCGCCTGCTACAGTACGTTCATACATGTCGTGAGCCAATGGCGTAACCCAAAACATTTCTGTGATTTCGTAGATAGCATAGCAGACACCTTTATGCAAGACGCATGGGAACTGATTAACCTATACTGAGAACCTGATGTTTCATATAAAAATGAGTAATGTTCCTGCAGCGTGGGACTTATGCGCAGTTTGGCAGAGCCAGGAATACGATTCGTAGCTCTGTAAAGCAACCCCGTCGGGCACGGTGTCAGCATAACTGCCGCATGACAACATTGCCAAATGCCGCAGCTACTGCCCGCTCGCAACTTTCATGATTATAGGTTCATTATTTTATATATGATATGCTGAATGTCGTAGATTGATGATTTAACCACGCACTGAACTGCTGGGACTTCATAGAACCCTGATGAACGAGAACTATGAATAAGAGAAAATTATGCTGTTCACTCGGAAGGATATAGGTTTACCGAAGCGATGTTTAGCTGTAGGCCTCCACATCCGTGATGTTTATTCTTTGTCGGTCAGACAAGGTCAACTGGGTATTACCCTAAAGCCGTAGACCTTCACCTACCGTAAGGTGGGGCTATTTGAGACAGTGGGGCTATTTGAGACAGTATTTAGAATTGTTATAAAATAAAAACCGTTTGAAATTTATGCTTAATTTTTGTTCAGGCGATTTACCGCTCGATTCCACACTTTCCTGAGCAAAAATATCACATAAAATTCAAACGCTCCTCATTTTATAGCCATTTTAAAAACTGTCTCAAATAGCCCCACTGTCTCAAATAGCCCCACTTTACGGTACCCCTAACTATTCAGTATCCACCCAGTCCCTGGTAGATGATATGCCCTTATATTGCTGTGTCAATGTCAATGTGATAATCTCTGCAAAGTCAGGGTCCTAGCTTTCCTATAATCAGATAGTTTTGGTGGATTAAAACGACAAAGCCTGATTTATGTCATGGCGTCGTCAAACCAAAACGTAACGAGCAATCCAATCGTAGAACGTCTGTTACTAGTTAGGTGCTAACGAATGATCAGATGATATTTCCAGGACCAGTAGTGCCAAAAATAGTCACTGCTGATCGCAGCTCCGCCTGCATCGCTCCTTCGTGCTTTAGCAACAACTAGATCCCTGGCGACCGGACAAAATTGCATAGAAGAGACATTGACGTTTGGCCATGCCGTCTTCTTTCTATAGCTATCCTTGTGTTGTTGTCTTTGCCGTGACATTTGAAAGTTCGACTTATCTCGCGACGAATAAAGTGACGTCGTTAACACGAGCGCTATTAGATCACCTGCAGTTTCCAATGGAGAAGTGGGCAGCAATGTATTGAACTCGCAGTCTTATTTTTTGACCGTATCGAATGATGCGGAAAACATTATAACACATTTTTTTGCAAATGCTGGGTTTGCTTAGGTGAAACCCATCCCCATCACTTCACGAGAACCTTTCGGTTGGTGCTTGTGCATTACTTTCGATGATATTAGCATTTTTCCTCTCGAAGAAGTCCTCATTCAGACTCGTTTTGCTAGTGTCTCTGCAGGTAGATTGTCCGCGATCGGTCGGGCCGCGGCAGTCGGCCCTGGCTCAAGGACATGCCATCTAAGCTGGCGGATATGTGCAGCCAGCCGTGCTGGGGGAGGGGAGATTAGGGTTCACCGGACGGAAGATCGGACCCACTGGATTTGGGGAGGGGAGGGGGACTGGGGAGGGATGTCCACCGGAACATCCCTGATTGACCGTGACGGACTGAGTCACGGATGGACTGTAATGATCACGGCCAGACCGTGACGTAACAACGGGCTGCCTCACGGGTATAGACTGCGTGATTATCACAGGCAGACTGCGTTTTTAAGAGACTAAAATTACTCCCCAGAAATATTCCCAGCCATTTCTACACCTGAGACGCAGACTGCATGTTCAACTACATGCATATTGCACATTTAGGCATATGTCGTTCACAGACGACTTTACTCTACGCGGTCAGATTGCTGAGGCATGTCGGCCTGCAGCAGTAGCTTGAATCGACTGCAGCAATGACATTCATCGACCGCGAACACAAACTCGGGAGCTTGCAGGCAAAACCATGCACTGGCCTTGGTACATACCCGTCTAATCAAGCATTCAAATTAAAACCAGGAACAATATGCCATGACTTATCTGCCAAGGTGAGCAGCTTCTTAGGTGAATTCAGCATTAGGAAGCAATGACATTCTTGGCAGTATTTTTAGAGCCATTCTCTTTGGTATATAGCTGCAGCTCAATCCAGCTTATCAAAGCCATCAAAATAAAGATAGCTGAGACGGAATAGAAACATTTAAGTGTGATTAGCCTAATGAAGGTTACGTTTGTGCTCTGTGCAGTTAACATTTGCGTACAAGGTCTTTAAAAGGGAAAATGAGTGGTTTTGATAGGCAAATACCTACAATAAATGAATAGAAGCTCGTGTAAATGAAATACCGGTAAACGTGAACTTTTTATCAGACATTTCCGGGAATGCTTGAATAGCGTACTGAACCATTGTAATGGAACACATTACACATCCGTGCATTGTGTGATGTGTTGTTTATACCTACACTTATGCATGAATCATTTGTCACATGTTGTTTTGTTGTATGTAGTTGCATGTTGTATCCGCCGCATATTAAGCAATAATTACATTCATGGGAGGTCTCTTCCACTCTTTTGTCCGTCCCATAGCTCAATTGGAAGTGCGTTGGACCTCCGGCTGGTTCATGAGAGCCCGGGTTCGAGTCGCTCCGGCGCTCAGCATACAAGTACCAATGTCCCCTGACGGGTCGGTATGCGATGGGTGAGAGCAGCTGCACACAGTTTATCAGTTGAATGGGGTCCATTATTTCCGGCTTTAATGAGTACGCTTGATTTTGGCATAACAATTCCCCCAAAACCCCATTGCCCAATCGCACGGTTGGGGTCGCGGCCTGCTCAACAAGCTCTGCTCAGCGTGGGCTCCAAGTCTGTAAAACCGTTCATTCAAACATGCAAACTAAACTAAAAAGCACTGACATTGTCATCAAGATTGTGCAGTGCTAAAATTAGAAGATACACCACCAAACAGGCAAACGCTGAACTACCACAGCATTATAGGTTATGTAGGTTATGTACATACAGATACATATGTTTCATTAGTTTCATCAGTCATTGTCCTGTGACAGTCGCGGAAATTCCGAAATGACTGTAATTATTATCGACTGCCAAACTTTAGTTGAAGGTATCCCGTCCGGTTTCCACCAAGCAGCACGAAGAACGAGAGCGGCTCAGAACGCGCCCAGTTTGTTTTGAACATTATACGACTCGCATGTTGCAAAACCGTGTCAAAACAGTGGCACAACCATAGGCACATACTTTCTATCACAGGCGACGAGTCGTGTTGGATTTGCGAAGTGTTTGCGACGGTCAGGTGCTACACTGTTGTGCTATAGCTGCAGTCTCCAGGTCTCGGATAATTATGTTCAGCCGTAGGTACACAAGAAAATTAGTATCTATAACATGCTGGCCACAGTCACGAACCCACTTCTTGTGATTCGTACTGTTTCCTTTCTAATGCTGCTTTCTTGTGCCCGTGTTGCAGTCTTTCAATGCCGGCCATCTTTGTCACGCGTTTCTAGGGTTAGTGTCTTGTGCTTTTGTTGCAGTTTCCATGTGTTGGTGTATGCCGGTGCAGTTTCTGTTTGCTGACTACTGTACGTTTATCTGTACTTCTGTCGAACTCTTCACTTGTCAGTTGTCACCGGTCAGGTGATACATTGCTGTGGCTTGCTGCAGTCTCCAAGTTTCGGCAGTCCTCATCTCCAAGTCCTCGCTGAATTATTTATATAGTGACGCCAGGTTCAGATCTATTGTTCGGTTCACCTACCCCATAACGAAATACAATTCACTGCGCCAATATTGCTGTTATCCCTGTTTTCTCTGTCACTGACGATCTTCTTCATTTCTATCACCAGCTGGGACCAGAGTGATCAACGTTCTTACATCGTGAGCTGACAGCTGGGAGAAGCTCAGAATGCAGATGGCTACAGCGGCCCTGTTACTGGCGGGCGTGGCGCTTGCCAACGGACAGGGTGCGTAATATGCGAACGACAGCGATAGCCGTTCTCTGACTTCATCTATGCATGCTTGCTTATACGACCTTGCACACCATGAATTAGTACGGTCCCAAGAAGCGCGCATCACTCGTCTGACTGCCTTGCATTGTTATCGTATAATCGGATTATCCCTGTTCACGTTCAGCTGGCTTGGTTCTAACGATAAAAGCGAAGTTACATGACGTTACTTAATTTATACCGGATTGCTGCATTTCCAATTTGCATGAATGGTATTTTATTTAGCTTTAATAGCTTTCTTCGGTATTGCCTGTCATTTAGGTATGCCTTTGTGAATACTGGAGAAACGTTTTTTAGCGTTGATTATCACGTTCTTATATCAAAAGGTAGTAACGCACGGCTGTTTAGCGTTTATTGCTAATGTAAATATCTATTCTCTTTCATCAGCGATCACATTCGGCGGGGAGTCGAGCGGACCGGCGTCCTGCCGCGACTACCTCGGCCGGCAGGGGCTGTGTGACGATGTGTTCCAGTGTCCGGCCTTCCTGGAGATCCTCCGGAGCCGGCCGACGTCGGCCGAGCTGAACCCGATCCGGAGGAGCGTCTGCGGCCAGCGCGGCAGGGTGGGTTGTCGAATACTGACCGATTAGAATGGACCACAAAGGCACATCCATTGTCGGCAGCATATAGGCATTGACATCAGTATAGCCAAAAGCCATTGTGACTTCAGGATAAGGAATATAATTTCATTTTCCTGCATATTTTATGCGTATGCATAATGCATAGCTGATCACATATCGAATTGCATGTTCATCAATCTTAGTTATCCAAAGTTCGCTAGAGAAGAATGACTGCCAATTGTCATGCTGGCTGCATCTCACAGACGCAAAACTAAATCCATTCACATACGGATTTAGCCTCTGAATCGTATCAGACGAGTCCCACCCACCACCCGCCTGACCACTGCCCCGCCCGTTTCGGCAGCAACCCCTGGTTTGCTGCGCCAAGGACACACCTACACCACCGACCCGTCCGACGCGACCTCCTACGAGCGGCCCGTTCACCGGCGACCCAGAGCGCCACCCGAACCGGGGTCTGCTGCCGGACCCGAGTCGCCTGGAGTGCGGCACATCCGACTTCACCATCAAGATCGTGGGCGGCGTGGTGGCCGACCTGGGCGAGTTCCCCTGGGTGGCCATGCTCGGATATGAGAGTAAGTGGTGGCAAAGGGAGTGTAGGGAGGGAGGGACGGTGACTCGCCCGCCCGCCTGACGTGGCGTTCCCGGTAGGGCAGCGGGCGGTTCTGGCCGCTTGGTAACGATCACGGGAAGTACGGGTGGAAAGTGGTCAATGGAGGCAGCAACACAAAGGGTATTTGGTGATGTCATTAGCCGTCAGCAGAATTTGGAGTAATTGTTTTTGAACTTCAAAGCATATTGTTTTTGTGTTGTGTTGTTTATTCCTTATAACCTGTGCAAAATGTCTTAATTTCTCATCCAAACTGTTGGAATCTGTAAAGTGCGTCTGTGTGCAAACGATGCCATCCAAAGACACGGTGCCTGTACCAGTATGTGTCTGCCTGCATCACTTGAACAGCCCAGCGTTAACCACAATCGTACGTAACAGCCCCCAATATCACCAATCTCGGCGTTTCCCTGCAGGGTCCGGAGCGGCTGAGGTGGACTTCAACTGCGGCGGCGCGCTCATCAACGAGCGCTACGTGCTGACGGCGGCCCACTGCGTCACCGGCCTCCCCACAGAGTTCCGACTGGCCAAACTGCGGCTTGGAGAGCACGACCTCACCACGGACCAGGACTGCGTGAGTACAGCGGGTGTGCGTTTGGGAGGGGAGTGAGTTAGATTGGTGAGTTGGGGGAGGAGAGTTTGAGGGTTGCGAGTTAAAAGGGGCGCGAGTAAAGGGGCGCAAGTTCAGAGTGCGGGGGCTTTGTGGTCGTCGACTCAGGCGATGCGAGCACTGAGCAGGCACCATGACTTGCACAATTCGAACGGTGAGGTGGTGCTACACGGTGAGGTGGTATGTGCTGCCGCATCGGGCGTTTCAGATTTATTTTCAGGCCACCGTGCTCTAAGTGCCGGTATTAAAGCGCTGGCTGTAACAAAAATTCCAGCTTATGATCTGTAAAAACAAAATACGGCAAACGACTGATGTTATTCAAAGCAGCCACTCAACATCCACCCGCGTCCTTCGGCAGATCAACGGCGAGTGCACGGGCCCGGTGCAGGACTTCACACCGGAGGAGGTGATCTCTCACAAGGACTACAACAGCCCCGAGAGGTTCTGGAACGACATCGCGCTCATCCGGCTCGACAGGCCCTACGACCAGGCGCTCGGCTGTGAGTTGTAGAACAGGGAAATTATGGGGTGCATGAGCATTGTGGGGAGGTTGAAGATGCTATGCTTACATATTTGTGTTTGTTATCTGTAGTGAGGTCTTGTAAATGTAATCGAAAAGAGGTCGGAACATTACAAGAATATTATAAATGTGACTGGATAACAAATGTTTCCATGAGTCTGCTTTAGTATTAGCCGAAAGACTGTGTAGGAGGGTATTTCATGTGCACATACCTAAATAAGATGAGATTCAACCATGAGCAAATAATATGCAAGCTCACCATAAAACCTACAAGCTCGGTCATACATTACGACTCTATCATGTTCATGTTTTATCGTGGTCTTCCGTGATACAACTTTCCTCGCAATCATGCCTCGCTCGTACCGTCACTGTTTGCTGACAAAGCGTGTCTCCATTTTCAGCGGCCATTCGGCCCATCTGCCTGCCGTTCGGAAGCTTCGGAAAGGACCCGCTCGATGACAAAAAGTTCGTGGTGGCTGGATTCGGACTGACGGAAGCATGTAAGTTGATGGTACTCGAGCCATTGAAACTTATTACACATCTTGGAATACGTTTTGAGGTAGATGTCATAATACGAAGCGGAATAAAGCACAACTGATTGGCGAATGCTAGGTGCAAATAGGGGAGAGTGGTGCAGGAGGCCCCCCCCTAAGCTCAGTTACTATTTTTAGACAACTGATAATATTTAAGCGCTAACGTGTGCATGCGCTGTGAGCATGCATCATTTTCCCATACATATTTGCATTCAAAATGAATCTAGGGGGTACACAAACCGTAAACTTTAACATTTTGGAAAAAGTTGCAAAAGGGCCTCTTACACTATGGGTATGGTAAGACGCCCCCCCCCCTCGGGCGTTTTAAAAGTCAAGTCGACTTGTAAAAGACGCTTTGCGAACACAGCTGCAAGGCCTTTTATTTCGAGAAGCTAAGCAAATACGGTGTTATCGAAACCAATAACACTTCCAAAGCGCTCGAACAATGCGAAAACTAGCACAACCAAACGCTGATGACCAACGAAAATTGTACCTATAACCTCTAAGAAAAGAAACAGAAAAAAAGAAACAAAAACAAACTCCTTGAAAAAAGAATGCCACGCCTGCCGCAGGTGCAGGCGTTTTAGCATCGGGGGCGTTTTTTTATCGGGGGGCGTTTTATCATCCTCGAAGGGAGGGCCTCTTAAAAAAATACAGTGTTTTAACGTCCACAATATTTATGGTTTATGAGACATTTGCAGCGCACCAGAACATGGTCTATTCTGAAGCTAACATGTGACAATTTCGATGAGAAAAGATTGCATTTGATAGCCATTGTTTTTTCAGATATATAAGGGTGATAAAGATGCATATATCTAGCAAGTAAAGGGGCAAAAACAGAAACAGGCTTACCAAAAGTCGCTGCGACGCACCTGATACCTCAGGTTTCGTGAGTTGTTGTTTCAAGAGGGCTTCTGCTTTACAAGAACATTAAAAAATAAATAACATTATTGGTTTGGTAAAAAAAGCGATGGGGCCTCTTACCGACCCTGGGCGTCTTACACGGATCTCCCCTAACCTTATCTGTACTTGCTTTCTTTTCTGTTAAGCCCTAACAAAAAAACTAGCTCAATGAGGAAAAATGTCTCATTACCTCGACAACTGATGCTGTTAACCTGAGCCGCAGACCTCTGACGGCCCCCCCCCTCCCCCCTTAGTCGGCGACTCCAGTAACGTCATGATGAAGGTCAACGTGCCTCTGTTCGACGCCAACAACTGCTCGCAAGTGTTCCGCCGCAACCAGGCCAAGATCGGGCCCACGCAGCTGTGCGCCGGCGGGGCGCGCGGCCAAGACTCGTGCTCGGGAGACTCTGGCGGCCCCCTGATGGCCACTACCCGGTTCGGGCCGCCCTACCACGCCGTCGGCGTCGTCTCGTTCGGTGTGACCCGCTGCGGCACGGCCAATGTGCCCGGAGTGTACACCCGTGTCTCAGAGTACCTCAACTGGATCATGGATAACATGCGGCCCTAGGAGGGCGTAAAAAGGGTAGAAGAAAGGAGGGAGGAAAGAGGACGGAGGGAGGGCGAGTAGAGAGAAGAGGGAGAGGGATGCAAGGGGTGTCGAGTGGTATGATTGTAACGGAGACATATTAGGAAGGTACGGCACGGTAATGTAAGGACAAAATGAAGAAGGAAGTTGAAGAGGTAAACGCTATGCCCGAGAGTGTGTGTGTTTGTTGACGATGTACGCCTGCTAGAGGAAAAAATGGAACGAAGGCAGAATACCTGCACTAGGGACAGCATAGTGAAGGGAGCCACCTTCCGCACTGTGAGAAATGAGATAAAGATAGAGGAGTGAAATAGCGGCAAAGCTCCCATACTGTGACACTGTCACCCTGTCCTGTGCGACCTCCACGTTATCAGAGAACTGTGTGCCTGTGCTGTCTGGGGAGGATACAACGCCGCACGCTGGACGATGTATCGGGCTGTGTAAATATCTGAGGAGAATCGAGCCGAGTCTACGTCTTATGGATTGCGATATTGTCCAGCCATATAGCCATCGATGGAAGCTACGTGTAGAGTTGAGTTTTCACTCTTCGAGCGTGAAGCCAGCAGGATCGAGAACTCAATAACGACCTCGATATTCAAGCGAGCCGGTTTTATAGCTGAATTTTTTACTATCACGCATGCCGATTTTTTTATTGGAGGTTGCTATGCAACACAGGTTAGGTCCGCGTTCACACAGCAGCATTGCCTAGAGCACTGCGCAGTGCTTCAGTCATTGTGTGCAAACGCGCACTTCTCTGCTGGTGCAGGTCTGTGGGCTGCTTCGGCTTGGTTCTACGAGTGCGTGCGTTCATAGAAATACATTGTAATACATCTTTTACATCCTACTGCTTTTGCTGATGTGAGGATGTCTTGCTGGGACTCCTGGTCGCCGGGAAGTTGCAGCGGGAAGGATGGGACATCGCACTCGGTAGTCTCATGATTTGGTGGCCGTGAGCTCAAGACGGGTGTGTGCACCCCGTGCAGGACGGAGACAAGTCAGCTGGTGCTCGGACGTTCGATATGTCTGAATTATGCATGAACCTATCGAGAAGTCTGCAGATCGAACGAAGCAGATTGTCGCAAGGGGCTATGTCTGAGTGTAATCTCAACAATGTCACTTTACTATCAACTTTCACTGACCTTGCGGATCGATAAAATAATCCTGCCAGTAAGATAAATTAAATTATAATTTCTATGAAGACTTACCAGTAAGAAAATTAAAGGATATTCGTTTTATGAACACAGGCAAACTTCCGTTCAAAAAAAAAAAAAAAAATGCCAAGCCTCAATGAGGTTTATATGTCATTTAAAATTAAGCATATCGAGCGACTTTACGAACGCTTTCATCCTGCCGGCAACTGCGTGGGCCGTCTATGAGTTACTTGAGAGAGAAACCACAATATTTTTTGTGACAAGTTCAACCTCCCTCTTCAATCACCGTCTTTGGTGAAGCTATTTTGCACTGTTCGTCCCAACTCCCGCTGCCCCACAGTCGACAGCATCCGTTATAGCGGTTATATTTGTAAACCAGACAGTATAGTTCCGTAAAGCCTCGCCTCAACAAACCTCGGTCGCAGCCAGCGGACCGAGGGGACCCCCCCCCTCAGAGAGGAATGCCACCTATCTCACCAGCGGGTTATGTACACTTTATACAGAGACGCCGTATAGACATGTGCAAACACTACTCTACAGCCTGCCAATCGAGCGCGCCGCAATAAATAGCTCATTAAAAACGCCTACCAGCTATACGGAAACAACGAAACTGCCCGCTGGCGGGCCTGGTCTTTTGTCCGTCCCGCTAGAAGGCAACAAAGTCCGCCAGCCAACACTCTGATTATCACTTGAATACATCAAAATAGGTAACCAAACGGGACGCGGCCGGCGACCGGTGCGGCCGCCCGAACCAAACGGTGCCACCGGGCCGGAGGAAACCGCCCGTCCCGAGCGACAGCCCCGCCCGACCCGCGGACGGGGCGGGCGAGACCGGGAAAGCGCCATCTCTATTGCGTGTCGACCCATCACAGATTCTGACCAACGCTGAACGGCGGAACGTTTCAGTGTATGAGTGGAAGTGTGTGTGTGTGTGTGTGTGTGTGTGCTACAAACTATGGTGTCATCTACCTAACGCTTACAAACGGGCTCAAAGCGCCTCAACGCGGCACCACAACACGAATGACGCGACAACACGCGATGCAGAAGCAACAAGTCACGCCGACTCGCGACGAATTCGCCTACAGTTTGTAACAAACAAGTCGTTATCTGCGATTTTGATGACCGTTTCTTCACCGCCGCCGCCATCTCGGCCCGGCTCTCGAGCTCGGGGTCCTGACAGCGCGCGCGGGCCCCCCGGCGGCTGCAGAATTCGATGTGCGATCCTGTTGATGACGGCGGTGGTGCTGGTCCACAGAAGAGACTGAGAGCGGCAGAGGCAGCCGTGCAGGACAGGGGAAAGATGCAGTCACTTGCTGAAGCGGAACAGAGGAGAGCGCCGGTCTGCAGTCAGGCTATATAGAGGGCAGGACCAGTGCACAGCGACGGCAAGCGGTGGCGACAGGATATCGAGACTTGCCAGGCCGAATCTATCGGCACTGCGTACTGCCAGGCCGGGGAGGGGTGAGACCGGGATACGGCACGGACAGAGGACAGACACAGGGAGCGGACAGCGGACACCGAGCAGCGCCGACCGCCCGGAGGGACAGAGCGGGGAGAGCGCGGATAGGGAGCACGGGAGGAGCCGCCTTACGCGTTCTTCAGCAGACTGTTGGCCCGGTCGTTGGCCAGCTTCAGACGGGCCTCGTTCGACTGGCTCTGTAACAGCGGCGGGGCGCGGGTCAGAGGCCGAGACACGGCGCCGGTGGTGACGGACGGGTGGTGACAGACGCGACACTCGCAGCGGCGTGAGCAGCGTACACAACACGGACAGATTTCCGAAAAACAGCAGCCGGCTCACGGGCAGCTCAGTGACAATATGAAACAGAGACTGAACATTGCTCGCCTTCAGAGACTGAACAGTTGCATTAGGTCTGCTACAATATACCAGCAATTACAATAATTTGAGAACAGAACATGAACGCACAATCCACAGTCAACAGCTAGTCTGTCAGCATAGGTCAGCGACTATGCTACGCGGGTCCAACAACGGCAGGGCTTTCTGAAGCATGAAGCACGACAAACATACCAGCACGTGGACGGATACACTGATACACACATGCACTGAGGACCAGACGATATCGCGATAAGCGAAGCGCTAGGGAAGCACATGCAGCGAAAGCGCAGGCAACTGACGTCACAGGTAACGGGTTAGAAAGGGGAGACAGCTACGGGCACAAGAAGCCACAGAGGACGAGACGCAGCGGGTGCAGCGACACCCTACACTGAGGTCTAATAAGGGGCAAAATTGAGTGAGCCAGGAATACCGACAGTTGTGAGATAGAGGCTGTCTAGTGCTGGGCAGTGGGCACGGACAAGGACCTTGTACGACATAGGGGATTCGACACCATTGACTAGCCACAGTACAGGCCGTACGGGGGATCGGACAGGTTGGCGTGGCGCACTATCTTAAAGAATAAAGAAGACCTAATGACCTGGTTTCAATCTACCGTGATAACCTCATGCAGATGCGGGATGGCCGTCCAATCGTGTTTTTTATCACTTCATTACGTATTACGCAGAAGTTTTGGAACTGTTGTCCGTTTTTATCATCAGATAAATTTCAAGCAACGTCAATAAACTACCTATTGGCTATTGTGACTGCATCTAGCAAGCAATGAAAGTGATGTACATTTATGTGATACTGAACAATCAACGCTATTATACCCTCAGCTTTAGTACGGACTCTAAATGAGACCATAAAGAAACAAAATAAGTCGATATATGGTTGGATGAGGATTACAAACTCACTGGAAGAGCTGAAACATAACGAACATATTCAGTGGGATTGATAGAAAACTTTTCAACAGCATCAGTTGCTTTCAGCTTGAAAAACAAACATTAAAGAAGCAAGATGAAATCAAAATGAACGCAATAAATGATCGGTAGATAATTTCTGACGTGTTTAAGAAAAAGATAAGCCTGAAATGAACTAAAACATATAACACGAGTCTGAAATAAACCAAAACATATAACACTTATCTGTGCCTATCTATTTCGTGGCTAGAACAATACACCTAACTCAACACACAACTACTAAACTCTGATGAGCCAAACATAGCGGCGGGCAGGCTTACAATCCCTATGGGCACTACCGACGCACGCTCCGCGCAATACCGGCATTTGTGGCTCGTCTAGGCTGATTTCAACAGTTTTCCGGCGCGGTTGGCGGCCTCTGACACATGTGCCTCGTTGGAGGCGGTCTACGGACATAGAGATAGGGCGCTGTGTCGGAGGGCGGCGGGGTACAGATATATACAGGGGATGAAGGGGACGCACATACACGATAGAGGGAGAGGAGAGGGGAAGGAAAACAAGAAGCAAAGGAGCGATAAAAATATTTCCCCTGAGAATGATGTAATTTACAGGGGGAGATTTGGTTGATATGGAAAGACGACAGCGGAGGATTGAGTGCCAATATGAAGCAGCAAAAGCCAGCTTACAATGATAACAAGGCGTCAGCTAAGACATAAGTGCTTGCTGACCACGCTCAGCCCACGGAAGGTATCATAACTATTATCGCTCAACTATGATAACTGCAGAATGGACGTATTCCAAACCAAACTGCAAATACACGCCTAGTTGTATTTCCGTGTTATGAGCGTTGCCATGGCGAGGGTGTGGCCTGAGCCGAAGGGTGGGGTTGAGGTTAGGTGTGGGGGTGCAGTCCTACCAGCAGACACACACACAGGCAGATCAGCCATGAGAGGACAAAACGGTGCCGGCGGTCGCAGTGGCGGGGTGAAGGGTGCGAGCGGAACAGATTGAGGCGTTCACCGCCGTCGGGCGCACTCACAGGCACACACAGACACACACATAGTGAGGATAGTGGTAGGCATAGACACGGTCATGGAGACATACAGGGGCGGCGGGAGATAGAGCTACAGCTGGCCACCGCCAACGGGAGGGCATGCAGCACGGGCGGCAGCGGCAGGGTATTAGCAGCAGCAGCGGGGGAAAGGGGGCATTATGTACACCGTGGTGGGCCCACGGGGAACAGCTGAGGGCTAATGTCCAGGCACGGGGCAATATAGCACAGAACGTACGCTAAGTACACGCTGAATATACTTCATACAGACCGGACAGGATTCATAGACGCCAGGATAAACCCCACAGACCGAATCAAACAGACAGACTAAACAGAAAAGAACAGATTGTGCCGAACAAACTTCACAGTTCACCACATTTAATATGAGGATAGACAACAACACACATGAACCTAAGTACAAATAAATCCACACATAGCTCACTCATTCAGCAATATCTGCGTAACATTAGACACATCCTAATCCAGCCACCAGCTCCACAGCATACACAAACACATACACACACTCCTCCCTCCCTCCCCTCAACACCGCAAACACACAGAGAGACACATCGTCACAGCGCTTCCCTTCCCCGCTCACCTTGGCGCTTATCCTCTCGACCTGTCGGTTCTGGTTATCGAGCTCCGATCCCATATCCATGGCCATGTTACGCAGGTTGCCCACCATGGTGTTGACCTGTTCCATGTTACCCTCCATCTCGTCCTCACGGGCGTCGTTGGTAATCCTGAGACGACGAGCAGACGGTTAGATGAGAGAAGAAGAGGGATAATGCCACGGCGGTGCGGAGACGGAGATGGTTATAGAGATTGTGATTGAGTTTAGGGTGACAGATCTCAAGTATTGATGGAATAACAACAATCTAGCCCTAGCCCTCAGATAAATAAATACGAACGCTGTATGCACACCACCATGTTCAATTGTATTTCCTCAGAGAATCATGCTCGCAGCATGGCTGACAGTGTTACCCTCAACTACTATCTTCCAAGACTACGGAACTACAAATCCGACCTACCGTCGCCAGCCCCACACTATGAACCCCCTGACAACCCACCTGCCGATGTACCCGCCGCCGGGTCCCATGCCGTTCCTGTCGTCCATGACACGCTGCGGCTGGCTGTTCACCACCTTACCGTCGTCATTGCCCTTCCAGGTGCCGTCGTCCTCCTTGAACTGGCCTCCCTGCGGACGGCAAAACAGGTAGCGGTACTCAGAGAGCTTCATAGATGGCAGCACCAGGAGCAGAGCTACATTTCGCACGGGATCCATATCAAACAGAAGGTATTACGGTGGGTGATATAAGAGGATATTATTTCCAACCAAACTGCATTCGCAAACAACGGAATGTTCGTTCAACACCCGATATCCGTAAAAACAACAAAAGAAGTGCGATGGCAAGAGACGTAAGCTATTGCTTTCAACGTTTGCAAAAACGGAGCAACACCAGCAGAGCTGAAGCCGCTCCGCTCCGGGACACCCTGCAGCTGAGGGGAAGATCTGACCGGACAGCGCACCCACCTTTTTCCAGGGCAGGACGCAGAGGCCGCAGCATTTCTCCATGCCGGTGAGGTTTTTCTCGGCCTCGCGCATGTCGGCGTTGATCTGATCCATACCCTCCTCGATCCTGTCCAGTTGCTCTGTAAGTGGGGGGATGGGAGAGGAGCGGGGAGGGGGAACAGCGTCATACGGGTGGGCATTGAAGGTGCCACAGCACATACAAATGCTAACGCTTATACCGCCAATGAACCGCTAATGTCATCAGGTCAGTTGCTTTCATAATAAACACAATGAAACGTTATAGAATTTGAGGACAGGTTAGCGTGGGATAACAGAAAGCAATCATGGTCACGGCGGTAACTGGCAAAGACAGCGTTATTCGTTAATCAAAATCCGAAAAAAAATGTTGGAAGGAATACGGATGACGTAGACCAGAATAAGACACATGCTAGAAAAAAATAAAGCAGTTAACACTTAACATGTAAGACACCAGCCACCCACGCTAAAACCCCGATTATAAATATGCCTCAATTAGACAAAAGCTGGAGATGAGAGCATTAGAAATAGAACATGGACGCGTTATTCACAATGCTAACAGCGATGCCATGACAAGGTATGGGTACACATGACACACTTCAAAATTGCTTACCGCCTTGTGTTTGCAAATTAACCATCGTCTTTGCTCCTACGTCTTGACTCTAGAAATAAAACAAAACAAAAAATCAAAGAAACATCCTTCAATAAAAACATGCATCGAGCAACAAAATAACACCAATAGCAAAACAAATAAACAGTGCATGACATTATCGCATGCACGTCCTGAAAAACACTATATTGTGAAAATGGCATGCCAGTCCACATCAATATCAACAATGAATGGCCTCCATGAGCAAACAATCATAGATCCGTCACGCAGTATACATATACTCGTATTCCTGGACGGCTTTCAGTGATTGACGGCGCATGAAAACAATGGTGAGGCCCCTGGCCACCGTCGGTGTGTGTATTCTCAGTGTGTGTTTGTTTTGTTTCTATGTAACACCCAACAATAAACCGAAGCAGAGGACGATTTTGAAGATATGCGGGAGACCATTCCATGATCTACTCGTAAGAATAAAAATATCTTCCAGCATCACCATAAAATCGAAGACTAAACACGAAAAAAAAAATGTAGCAAACGTCCCAACTGCAGCGATGTGAATAAAACCACAAACGGAAACCGACCAGTTTTCAGCACCACGCCCCAGCAAAGAACAAAAAAAAAAAACAGATCCGTTCACAATGACCCACATCACCCATCACCAGTCACCCAACACCAATCCCGACACACACCAAATCACAAACAGTGCTGGCCCTCAGCAAAGGTCACCGGTACACAAATATGTCCCCCTCTGCGCGGCCAGCGCCGGCAGACCGCCCCGCCACTCCAGCACCCAGTGTCACTCCGGGTTACTTGATGTCACTCACCACCCTGCTCGTCTAGCAGACACACCACCTTGATGCCGGCGTCGCTGGCCTACAGCAGGGACATTGGCACAGCTCGTAACGGGGCTGAGCGTGCACACAGCAGAACGGCACACGGAGGCGCTGACACGGCACGACAAGAGCACGGAGTACAGCACAGCATACAGAGCACAGATCGGACAAACGAGCACATGTACGGAGCACAAACCAGCACAGCACAACCCTTTCATAGAACTGACCAAAACAGTCTCAGCTATTGGAGCACAGCACAAAAGTTGTGGACCACGGACCAGTCTTATCAGCTCAACAGACACTGAAATTGCCTAGCTATGAATAGCAGAGACCATTGCGAAGGTCTCCGATCTACGCCGAATACAAATAGACTCCCTAGAAGTGTTGTGCCTCCTCGTAAATGTGTGATGTGTGTCGCAGGTTAAACTGTCTGACCTTTAGCGGTCGACGCTTCTTGATGTGGAGACGAGTACACGAAATTCTGGCATTGGTAAGTTCTTCAGAGATGCTTGCATAATGCATAAGACGTCTGGAGGCATCATGCGCCGCATGACTTGTTTATTAACCTCTCCCTAGATGTCACTACATCAAGCGCCTGAAGTGATACTGCGCCGCACGACTGGTGTTTACAATACGTCCGCTAGATGTCCCTAATGTCAGCGCCTGTGAGGATACTGCGCCGCGCCGCCTGCGTTTGCAATGCGTCCGCTAGATGTCTCTAGTATCGGCGCCTGAAACGATGCTGTGCCGCATGACTCGTGTCTACAATGATCTCGCTAGATGTCGCTAGTGTCGGCGCCTGGACGGATGCTGCGCCGCACGGCTCGTATTTCTTTTCGCAAAGGACTGTCGCACACGGCGCGTTGACAGGCCGGCACATCACATTACCAGTTGACCTCATAAATACTTCACCATGGAGTGGCCGGCCGGATCATTCCAACTACCACAGCTCTCTGCTGATCTGGAAATCATACGATGACCGTCCCGAAATTCCCGAATGGACGATCTCCAACTGCCCGCCCGGACGAGTCGTTCCAACCCGTCATCACCATCTGCTGGCCTCTTTCCAGCACTCAGTCCGCGTCAGAGCACCAAGCCGTGGAGGCCCAGTGTCCCCGACGGACACAGAGTGCAGGAGGACAGCTGCTGTGTCCGCAGCAACTGTGTTCGACATATCGTCTCCGCATTTGATAAGGGGGAATATTTGTTTCTGGTCCCTAAAAAGCTGTTTCTAGCACCTAATTGCTGATCAGCCCCAAAATGCTTATTCGACCCTAATATCTGAATCCGGCACCTAATTGCTTCCACACAGCCTAAAGTTGCCAGATCGTCTAGTTGAACTCCGTATTTGCTGTTTGCTGATTCAGCACCAAAACCAAAACATCCAGCACCTATTTTATTCCACGTTTGCCTACCTAATTCGCGTAATCTTCCTGATTTTATGTATTCTAACAACATGAACGTTGCATTCGGTGATGTCAAGTGCCATTTTCGCCAGAGGAGATAATGATTAATGCCATTTCTAGTCAAAAGAGAATCACTAGCCAGCTATGGTGCAGCATAGCAAGACGCTCCTATACCAGCCCGCTATGTAGAGACTAGAGATTATTGCACCCTCAGCCATTTTAACGTGAAAAGTTTGGATCTGTCACTTCCAGCCAGGCTCTCAGGTCATATACTGGAGTAAAGCAAAATGTCAACTTTGAACAGACATGCCACGCAACCGGCCCTCTTTTCAATATTATTAGCTTTCTGCAATCATCGTCTGACTCCATCTCGATCAAACGCAGCATCCGGTTTCTACAGGGGCGTTTGACTGACCGGCCACACAATAACCAAAAACAAAATCAAAGCTTCATGCACACATATGACATAAGTAAGAAACGGATGAAAAAGGCACAACCACGGCACAACTCTGCGCGGCAAACAACGGACAACGCAAGCCACGCAAGATCCCGCGTTTCTTCAGCGGCCTTGAACGGAATGAAAACATTACATTTCTTTTTTGGAGCTATTTGATGACGTCAAAAAATACAATACCCGTTTTAATGGTCAAAATCGAGACAATTACTCACAAAAATGTTGCCGTTTAAGCATTACAAATAAATACTTTTAAATATTTAAATGACATTGTTTTTTCAAACAAATCAATATCATTTGCTTACTTAAACGTCATATACAATGCTGAGATCACTACGGGGCTGTCTTAGAGTGTAGCTGCACTGGCAACCTTTAGGCTAGACTCCAGGGGTCATTATACCAGAACAACATGATTCTACCAGCCAGTAGTTCATTTTTCTACTAGATTGGTGCTACGCTCAGCATTTAGGTGCCAGATTCAGAAAAAAGAGTAAGGCGTACCAATGAATAGGTGCCAGAAACAGCTAATTAAGGTCATTTTCCATGATTGGTGCTGGAATCCACCAAATAGGTGCTGAGGACCAATTTTGGGGCGAGTCAGCTTTTAGGTGCCAGAAATAGCTTTTCTGGGACGCAATTAAATGGCGTCCTTTGATAAGTGACTCAGACTGTTATCCATACACGGGACCGACGCAGACGTAGGGTAAACCGTCAGGGGCGGGGGGATAAGCACTAAGCAGCTCTCCGAAGTCCACAACACTGACCCGAGAGGCTCCAACCCGTCTCACGTCAAAACATTATCCTGTTTGAAGGCGGCCGTCCGGCTTCCTTTGTCACCCGTCTCAGGTGAGTGGGCGAGTGAAGTATCAGTGAGCTGAGCTAGGCGAGATTGGCTGTAAGACGGCCAAGAAAAAGTGCTGTATCGCCACATTGGTACTGCTAGTAATACAGCTTCATGGACTGCCATGCGTTCTGATGAAATCCGTCTCCGACGACGTTCACCGTGGTCCTCCGCTAGACCTCCACTGGTCCTCTATACCTGCGCTGGCCCTCCGTGGTCCTCTCCCCTCATCCGGTCCCCTATCGATCGGACCTGGAGCCCCAGTGACCCCGCCGCCCCACCAGTGACCTCCACTGCGAGCCCCGGCACGGCGTGGGGCGGTCGACTGGCCGACGGACCTACCACATCAGGGACCGGTAGATCCAACACACACACAAACAGTGCCGTTTGATCTGCCCTAAGCCGATGATGTTATGTAGGTGGTGGTCAGCAGCAGTGACAGAAGAACTTCCACTGTCGTGTCTCCAGACCTAGTTCACATGTGACTCGGTGCTCGCCAGGAAAGCCAGGCTGTAAGCGGATGTGATGTGACTTGTAAGCGGTTGTCAAACAACACACAAGCTTGACATACCGAATTGATCCGCAACAGTGCAGCCTTGAGGCAGAGAGCGAACCGCTTTCCTTTTACAATGTTTTGTAAGAAAGGCGATATTTACAACCTTGTTTTAGCCAAACCACCTGCTGTTGAAATACTTTTCAATGGCCTCCTTTATTTCTAACATAAGTCTACCAAAACTTTTGGAGCACAAGTACTAAACCTGCCAACGAATCGCATTTCCTTACTACTGGTTCAATGGATCCAGCAACATCCTTGCCCAGCTGATATTTCAAATGCGGAACCTGCGAAACTTAAGCTGACTCGTTCGGAGGGACCATCAGTACAGGAAAAAGCACCTGGCATCTTTGTAACATGTACGCCGCCGTCTCAGGCGCGGCTGACCACACTCGGACGCGGCCGGCCGGGTCAGAGGAGCCCACCGACCTACAGAGGAGACGCCGCCGCGGCGTATCGAGCAGTGACGTCACCCGGAGCCGACGGCGGCCCACGGACGATAGCCGGCAACAGGGGATGACCGCCGCAGAGGTCAGAACGGCCGGCGGAGTGGAATGGAATGAGAGTGGAAGGGAACAGTGCGCAATGAAGGGAACTCAGAGTAGCAGGTTTCAATGTTAGAAGCAAGTGGGCGGCGCCAGACATGGTCTTCGGGCGGGCGCTAACAGGAATGGGATAGCGTCAGCAGTCGACATTGCCAGAAACTGGGCAGACGCCAACAAAAAACTGCCGACTTTCTCCTTGACTAATGTCGATCTCTTCCACACCAATGACGACGGTAGTTTCAGCGCTGGAGCTAACAGCGCTGTGAGCAGCTTCATCCGTTCAGGCGATGGAGCTAGCGTCGGCGGCCGGCCATTCCATGTGTCCGGACGCTGATGAAAGGGGAAGCTCGCCGGGAAGTGGCGGAAGCCCGCTCCACTAAGCATGAGCCCGCTGTCTGACAGCATCACAGGCAACTGGTGGCC